GGCTAGCCTGGACTAGTGAGATCCTGTCCCAAAACTGCAGTGGCGGGGGGTGGGGGTGGGGGTGGGGGAGTGGAGTAGGGGGCTGGATATAACTCAATTGGTGGATCATTGCCTAGTATGTGTGAGGCCATGGGTTCCATCCCTAGCACAAACTAAACAGGGCACAGCGGAGCACACTTGTAATCCCAGCACTCAGGCAGCGGAGGCAGAAAAATCAGAAGTTCAAAGTCATTCGCCGCTACTTAGTGAATTCAAGGCCAGCTTGGAATAAAGGAGACTCTGTCTCAATAAAACCCCAAGTTCAAGAATGTTAAAGCTCAGACCTGCCTTGTGCCTCAGAGTCCTGAGAGGCTGTGTTAGCTACAGAAGCTGAGCTACAGCCAAGAGCCATGGTGGGGCCTCCGGCTTATCGGCACCTCCACACTGGTGAATATGGCTGGAAGTCCGTCAGGTACATCCGCAACACTGAATGAGTTTCTTGTGAGCACCGCCAGCTACGGGAAAGGATGTGGGGTAACACCTCGGTCAGGGGGGCCTATCAGTGCCCCAAGTGACTTATGGTGGTTAATATTTTTATTTTACATTTAGTTATTGGGTGTGCATGGTGGGAGTGAAGTCTGTGCACGTGTGTGAAGGTCAGAGAACAGTTTAGGGAGTCATTTCCCTCCTACTGTGCAGGTCTGGGGGCTTGGTGGCATGCCCATTTAACACACTGAGCCATCTTGCTGGCTCAGCAGTAAATATCTGTTGTCAACTTGGCAGGACCTTGAATCACTCCAGACAAGGCCTTGCACCCGTCTATGAGGGACTTTCTGGATTGAGTTAATTTAGATGGGAAACCCCACTCTAGATGTGGGTGGCACCATCCTATTGGCCTGAATAAAAATTAGTGAGCTGCCCGGGGGGTACTGGAGGAGGGGGGTGGCAGCACACACCTCTAACGCCAGCACTCAGGAGGCAGAGACAGGTGGATCTTTGAGTTTGAGGCCAGCCTGGTCTATAGAGCGAGATCCAGGACAGCCAGGGCTGCACAGAGAGACCCTGTCTGGGGGTGGGGTTGGCGGGGTGATCTGGACACCAGCGTCCAATCTCTCTCTCTGCTTCCTGACTGTGGGTGCCACGTGACCAGCGGCCTCACGCTCCTGCCGCCGAGTCTTCCCGGCCATGATGGCCGGTACCCTCCGACTGTGAGCCATAATCCACCCTTTCTCCCTCGTGCCGCTTGAGTTAGGTATTTTGTCACAGGAATAAGAAAAACAACAAAACCTGGCCGGCTTCCTCCCCAAACTCGGTGCCAGACCAGGTCTTTTTTAGTTGTGCTGGAGCCAAGGAATGGAGGCAAGAAAATCAGCTCATTTGCGGCAAGCCCCTGCCCTGCTCAAGAGCCTTCTGGGGGTCCCCAGCATCCGTGGCATTGTCCTTACAGCTACGATCCTCTCCCACGTGGTGGGGACCGCATCTAGCTTTAACCCGGGAGTCTTTCTCACAGTCACCCAGAGAGGTGATTGACGGGTAAAAAGATCGAGAGTCTGGCAGTGATTTGCTTCACAACTATCGAGGGAATGAGGGGTCAGTGGTTGGCAGGAGCTGAGTGAGGGGTCAGTGGTTGGCGGGAGCTGAGTGGCGGATCTGCAGGTTGTAACTGAAGAAGAAACCCCCAACCGTCACACCTTCTTTTTAATTTATTTGTTTTGAGGTAAGATCCCAGGTAGCCCAGGCTGGCCTTGAGTGCCCTAGGGAGCTGAGGATGGCTCTGAAGATCGAGAGATTCTCCCATCTCTGCTTCCAAAGTGTTAGGATTATAGATACGGCACTGTGTACCACTTCCTCTCCCACTTCTGAAAGGGACGTTTTCATGGGTTGGGGTGGAGCTCAGTGAGTGCGCACTTGCCTAGTGCGCTTCAAGTCTGGGGTCCCAACACCATTCAGAATCAGTGCAGGAGACACTCAGGAGGTGGAGTTTGGGAGGATCAGTAGTTCAGGGTCATTCTTGGTTATATACCAAGTTTGAGGTAGGCTAGTCCAGAATGCATTTATGTATGTTTGAGTGCTTCCATAATGAAAGGGATAATTTAGACAAACAAAACTTAAAAAAAAAATAAAGATTTTTACGTGTATGGATGTTTTGTCTACCTGTATGTCTGTGCGTTGTGTGTGCTCTTGGTACCCACAGAGACAGAAAAGGCCATCAGATCCCTTGGAACCGGTGTTACAGATGGTTGTAAGACAACTTGTTGGTGGTGGGAATTGAACTTGGGTCCTCTGTAAGAACAAGTGCTCTTAACCACTAAGCCAACTCTGTAGCTCCAAACAAAATATTTTGACTTTGTATTCTCACTCCTTGAAAACATTGGCTGGATGGTGGTGGTGCACACCTTTAATCCCAGCATTTGAGAGGAAGAGGCAGGCAGATCTCTGAGTTTGTGGCCAGCCTGGTCTACAGAACTAGTTCCAAGACAGCCAGGAGTACACAGAGAAACCCTGTCTCAAAGAAGCCTAATTAATTAATTAAAAGCATCAGTTAACATGAATATGTGGAGCTAGACCTGGTGGTACATGCCTGTAATCCCATCTACTATAAGAAGCTGAGGCAGTGGTAGAGTTGGGGGAGGTCTTAGATTAATAGTCATCTGGGGTATAGAGTTTATTCAAAGCCTGCCAACTTAGTAAGACTTTGCCTCAAAAATCTAAAAGCAAAACAGGGAGGGCTGGGGATATGGCTCAGTGGTAGACTACCCGCCTAACATGCGCAAGGCCCTAGTTCAACCCCAGGTACCAAGGGACAAGAAAAAAGGAAGAAGGAGTTTTGCATTCTGCTTGGAAAATGTCAATATTTTCCAGTGAGAAAACCAAGTATAGAGAAAAGGGCATGTGAAAACCCTATGTTGGGGATGGAGGGGTGGTTCAGTGGTTAAGAGCACTGGCTGTTCTGCCAGAGGACCCTGGTTCAATTCCCAGCACCCACATAGTAGCACACAACCATCTGTAACTCCAGTTCAAGGAATCTGATGCCCCCTTGTGGCCTCTTCAGGCAGTGCACACACAGGTGCACAGACGTACATGTGGAGAAAACACCCATACACATTAAATTCTTAAATAAAAAAATATAAAATAATGGCAGACTTAAGACCTTTAGTACAGTGTGTATGAGTGCGTGTGCGTGCGTGCGTGTGTGTGTGTGTGTGTGTGTGTGTGTTTGTGTGTGTGTTTGTGCGCGCAGTGTATGTGCAGATGTACTCAGAGTCCAGCAGAGGGCATCAGATCCCTTGGAGCTGGAGTTAGAGGAGGTTGTGAGCTCCCTGATGTGGGTTCTGGGAACTGAGCTTGGGTCCTCTGCAAAAGCAGCAGGTGCTCCTAACTGCTAAGCCATCTCTCCAGGTCCCCCCCACCCCCCAGTAATTTTTTTTTTCGGTCTTTTGAGACAGGGTTTCTGTATAACTCTAGCTGTCCTGGATCTCACTCTGTAGACCAGGCTGGCTTCACAGTCACAGAGATCCACCTGCTTCTGCCTCCGGAGTGCTGGGATTAAAGGTGTGTGCCACCACTGCCTGGCCTGGGTAATATTTTTTTAAAGGGAAAAATCCCAACAACCAGGAGGCTGAGGCAGGAGAATGGAAAGTTTTAGGCAGCTTAGTGAAACTCTGCCTCAAAATAAATAGACAGATAAATAGAGTCAGCACCTGGTTCTGTGACTGGGGGCGGGGGGGGGGGGGGGTTGTTGAGCCCAGCCTGTGCTCTGAGCTTGATCCCCGGCTCACGGCTCACACATGGTGAAAGGAAAGAATCAACTCACCCAGGTTGTTCTCAGACCTCCGTGTGTGTGTGTGTGTGTGTGTGTGTGTGTGTGTGTGTGTGTGTATACACCTCGGCAGGCAGGCATACACACACACACACACACACACACACACACACACACACACACAGTGCACTAAATAAATAAATACAGAGGCTACAGTAGTGGCTCAGGGGTTAAGAGCGCATACCGTTGTTGCAGAATATCGGAGTTCAGTTCCCAGTGCCCACATCAGGCGGCTCACAACCCTAGCTCCAATGCCCCTGGCCTCTTCCAGCACCTACACTCATGTATGTACACAGTCAGATACATACATACATACATACATACACATAATTTTAAAAAATAATAAACCTTTTCAAAAATGTCAACAACACAATAGTCTACCAGATAAATGATACCATTTAACAATTGTGCACATTATTCACGTGTCTATGGGCTGTGTTAAAATTAGCATGAGAGTCATGAATTTGAAAGCAACAGGAAAGGAATAATTTCGTGTTTTTCCATGTAATTAAGGCAGGAAAGGGGATTTGCCCTCCAGTTGGAAAATGGCCAAGGGTGGATGGAGGGCCAAGGAAAGCTCATGGAAGTTTTGTTTTGTTTATTATTTCGGGGGAAAGTACTTGCCACAGCTCTTGTGTGGAGGTCAGAGAACACTTTTGTGGATTGGGATCCCCTCGTCCATCTTCATGGGGGTCCTGGAAACAACACTCCGACTGTACCCGCTGAGCCCCCTCGCCAGCCCTCGGTGGGAAGGTTTAGAAGCGGCAGAGGGGTGGCTGACTGGTCTCAGCTCCCGACATCAGCATCTCTTCCTCTTGTACTCTGAGGGATAATGTTTCCCTGGGGATGAAAAAGCCTTCCTTTGTGTGGCCCCTTAATTACCATGCTGTTGTGCCAAGCCGGCGCGTAGCAGGCGGGTGCAGCAGCTGGGTACAGCCAATGCCAGGCAGCAAAGCCTGCTCCCTTGGGACAGCCTGGGACAGCTGGTCTGGGAGAGCTGCCCACCGCTGCCCCCTCCCTCCTCCCAAGCTGGGTACCGGCAGAGGATCTAGAGGGCCCTGGATGGTCTTGGGGCGGTCAGAAACCCCAAGGGTCATGGGGTGAGAGGGGAGAAGAAGGAGTGGGAAGTCGGGAGGGTCTCAGCCACTTTCAGAGGCTTATTTATTCCACCCCCTTGCCCTCCCCCATCTTGTTTTTGCAGACCGTCAGCGTCAATAAGGCCATTAATACGCAGGAAGTGGCCGTGAAGGAAAAACATGCCAGGAATATCCTTTTGGATGCGATCCTTGGGAGGCCAACTCTGGAAGGGGGTCAAATAGTGGGAACCGGGGTCAGGAGGAGGCTTCTTGCTTGGCTACAGGAAGACTAACCCTTGCCAGGGACAGGAGCCTGCAGATGGAAGCCACTTCCGGTAGAACTGAGGACCCAGAGAACACTAGTCTCAGAAACTCCAGCCTGGCGAGGTCCAAGGAGGCCATCCAGCCAGGCCTTTCTATTTATTTAGTTAGTTATATTAAGTTTTCAACCCAGGACAAATGGCTAATTGAGGTGTCCATTAGCATACCAAAGCTGACCTGGCTGCCAGGTTCTCCCAGCATCCTTCAGTCCCTACCTGTTACAGGGTCCTGGCTGGCACACCCCACCCCCTACCCTAAACTCTCCAGCCCTGAGGCTGGACTGCCCTTCCCCCAGAGGCTCTTGTCTATATAACCCGACCATTCTGGTTGCCCGGCCTTTCAGCTCATCTATTCTTCACCCTCCTGGCCTCTTGGTTTGGTACTCCCCTCTCCCTTCTCCCCTCCCCCTCTCCTCACATGGCTCAGTCTGGTCATGTTCACTCTGGACTCTCCCAGATGTCCCTGCCTCTGGCTATGCTCTCCCACGTACCTACAATAAACTTTCTCCTCCATCACACCTAGGAGCTGTCATGTCCTTCCCTTTTTATTTATTTCATTCATGTGAGTTGGTTAGACTTATTTTGAGACAGGGTCTCATGTAGCCCAAGCTGGCCTAAAATTCACTGTCTAGCTGAGGGTAACCTTGAGCTGCTGACTTCCTGAGTTCTGGGATCTCACAGGCCTGTACCGTCATGCTCAGTTTTTATGCAGTGCTGGGGTGAAACCCAGGGCTTCGTGCATACTAGGCAGATTCTTCACCAGCTGAGCTACAGTTAAAATTTTAAGTTGCTTGTTTGTTTATTATGTGTGTAGGTGTTTGCCTGTATCTATGTCTGTGCACCACGTGCTTGCAGTGTACACAGTGGCCAGAAGAGGGCGTTGGATTCCCTGGAACTGGAGTTACAGACAGTTGTGAGCTGTTGTGTGGGTGCTGGGAATCGAACCAGAGTCCTAGAGGAGCAGCTGGTGCTCTTAACCACTGAGCCGTCTCTCCTGTGTCTACTTGTTTTTTGATGGTTTTGATGGTGGCGGTTTTGAGACAGGGCTTCATTGTGTCCTACAAGTCGGCCTCAAACTTGGGATTCTCCTGTCTCAAGATCCCGCTGGGATTCTAGGTGTGTGCCGCCAGGCCCAGCTCCTACCCCTCACTTTAATAACGTGTAAGAAAGCTTCCTGAGCTGGCTCAGCAGGCCAAAGCTGGTCAAGACTGGCATCCCGAGTCTGGTTCTTAGAATCCACAGTGGGCGAAGGAAGCCTGTCTTCAAGGTTGTCTTTCAACATCCTCACATGTACTGTGGCACACTACACTCACGCTCACACAGGCGTGGCAGACACATGAATAAGGACCACAAGCAAACAAAAGTGAAAGAGGAAACCACGTGTTAGCACCGTGGCAACGGGCTGGAGAGATGGCTCAGCGGTTAAGAGCACTGGCTGCTCTTCCAAAGGACCCGGGTTCAATTCCCAGCACCCACATGGCAGCTCACAACTGTCTTTAACTCCAGTTCCAGGGGATCCGACACCCTCACACAGACATCCATGCAGGCAAAACATTGATGTAGATGAAATACAAATAAATAAATTATTTTTAAAAAGATGGTGGCAATGGTCCCAAGAGTCCTACATCTGGCTGACCCAGAGAGCATCCAAGACTACCCCTGGCCCCGAGCCACATGTGCAGATGACGAAGGGACTTCCCCTCTGAACACACTTCCATTTCTGGGGACCATGGTGACACATGCCTATAACCTCGGCCACTGGGAGGATGAAGCAGGGTGATTGCCAGGAGTTGGAGGCTAGCCTGGGCTACAGAATGAGACTCTATCTCATTAATACAAACAAAGGGCAGGGGGGCTGGGAGTGTGGCTCAGCTGGGAGAGTGCTTACCTGACATGCACCAAGCCCTCAGTCCCAGCCAGCAGCGTCACATAAAACAGGTGTGGTCCTGCACACCTGTAACCCCAGAAGTCTGGAGGTGGATCAGAAGTTCAAGGTCATCCTCTATTAACATACTACTTCCAGGACAACCTGGGCTACTTAAATGTTGACCCAGTCTCAGAAAGACATGGGAGGGGCCAGTAAGATGGCTCAGCAGTTGTGAAGGAGCTTGCCATCAAGCCTGAGGACCTGAGTTCAATCCTCGAGACCCCGTGTGGAACTGACTTCAACAAGCTGCCCTTTCTACACATGTACCTGGGTATATGAGTTCCCACACATATATACATGCACACACACATAATAATACATGAATGTAATTTTTAAAAAGACAGTTCTAGCTGGGTGGTGGTGGTGTATACCTTTAATCCCAGCACCTGGGAGGCAGAGCCAGGCAGATCTCTGAGTTCGAGGCCAGCCTGGGCTACAGAGAGAGATCCAGGAAAGGCACCAAAACTGCACAGAGAAACCCTGTTTTTTTGGGGAAAAAAAAAGACAGTTCCTTTTGAGAGGAAACTGTTATAAAGTAGAGAACAAGGTATTCCAATACCCCTAGCCTCCAAACTGCCAGGGCAAGCATGTGGAATTGTGGGGTCCCAGCAGTGAGCAGGGCCCCCGCTCCTTGCCAGCACCACCCACCAGGCCCTTGCTTTTCCTTGACTCCCTTCACCGTGCATCCTGGGCACCCACCATGAGAAAGGCGCGCAGACGTTTTGGTCTGTGGTCAACCGATTGCCTCTGTCCAGCAACGCCATGCTGTGCTGGAAGTTCTGCCACGTCTTCCACAAGCTCCTCCGAGACGGACATCCAAACGTGAGTCCCTGGGGCAGCAGGGGAGGCCGACGGCGGCGCATGTGCGGAACGTGAACCCGATTTCCGTTTCTGCTGCGGGCGACAGACGCCAGTGAGCAGAGCCGGGAATTGAGGCTTTAAAGATAACATTTTTATTTATATGTGTGTGTCTACGTGAGTGTATGCCACGTGTCCAGGTGCCTGAGGAGGCCGAAAGAGGGTGTCAGATCTCCTGGAGCTGGAATTGCAGGATGTTGTGAGCCGCCCAGTGTGGGTGCTGGGAAACGAACTGGGGTTCTCTCTGCAAGAACTGCAAAACACCCTTAACTGCCAAGTCATCTCTCCAGCTCTAGAAATAGATTTTTTTTTTAAATATGCATTGTGAGGGTGTCAGATCCCCTGGAACTGGAGTTACGGACAGTTGTGAGCTGCCATGTAGGTGCTGGGAATTGAACCCAGGCCCTCAGAAAGAGCAGCCAGTGCTCTTAACCACTGAGCCATCTCTCCACCTCCCAGGAATTGAATCGTTAAAGCTATTTTATTCAGAGAGCCAGCATTTGGAGAAGACCATGTCCTAGCTCATCTTAAGCTGGCAAATTCTATAGGGAGAAGGGGGTGGAGACAAAGGCTGTCAGTCTTCTCAGGGTTCAGCCTTGCCCCTTTGGGCAGGTGACCAGCCATATTTTTGGTCAAAACATCCCACTTCGGATGTTTGTGCCTCTCTCGGTATCATCCCTTGCGTTCTTCTCTCGTTCTGCGGATGTCTGGGCTCAAATGTTCATCGAAATACTTGGGTTAGTGTCTGCTGGTATCAACCTGTCCTGGAGACACTTGGGCCAGACACGGTGGTACACTCCAACCGTGTCTGTGTGGAGGCCGGGAACATCGTGTATGTACTGACTGCTTCCCGCCGTATGCAGCACAAGTGTCGTTGTAATACAGAATATGGAAGTGCCCCGTTCATCTCTCCTGTCCCCTGTCAAAAGCGACTGTCAGGCCAGCGAGATAATCCTAGGAGCCCAAGGTGGGAGGAGAGACTGATTTCTGAAAGTTGTCCACTGCTCTCCACATGTATGCTGTGGCCCCTGCGCACACACACACACACACACACACACACACACACACACACACACACTGTGAAACAAGAGGCTGCTGGCTACTGCCATACCACTTGTCATGATTTCCCATAGGAGGTGGGTACATCCCTTCTCATGGGTCTCTTCCCCACCCCAGGCCCAGGTAGACTGGTCTCTGGCCACCCATGACTCCTCTCATGGTTCTTCTCTTCTTTTCTAGGTGCTCAAAGACTCTCTGAGATACAAAAATGAATTAAGCGACATGAGCAGGATGTGGGTGAGTGTGGAGACACACCCGGGACCCCTTACTCCCCACAGGAACTTGCCATTCTACTTGTGACCTTTGTGGTCACAATACATTGCACTTGTAATTCTTTGTTTGGGGGCTGGAGCGATGGCTCAGCAGTTAAGAGCACTGGCTGCTCTTCCAGAGGACCAGAGTTCAATTCCCAGCAACCACATGGTGGCTCACAACCATCTATAACTCCAGGGATCCAGTGACCTCTTCTGACCTCCTCTGCCATCCATGCATGTAGTACACAGACCTATATGCACACAAAGCACCTATACACATAGTAATAAAAGGTTAAAAAAAAATAAAGATCTATTATTTGTTTGAGGTCTCTGTACATAGCCCAGTCTAGCCTAGAACTTGTAATCCTCCTTCTTTAGCCTCCTGAGTACTGGGATTATAGGCATGCAGTGAGAACGTGGCGGGGGGGGGGGGGGGGGGGGGGGGGGTGGGGGGGGGGGGGGGGGGGGGGGGGGGGTGGGGGGAGGGTGTGGAGGTGGGAGTATATGCATTTGTGTGTGAATACACACACACACACACACACACACACACACACACACACACACACACACACAGAGTCAGCCACAGGTGGTGTTCTTCAGGAGCCATCCACCTTGTTGGTTTTTGGGGTTTTTTTGTTTTTTGAAGCAGGATCTCTCTACCTAGTCTTGGCTGTCCTAGAACTCACCACATAGATCAGGCTGGCCTTGAATTCCCTGAGATCCTCTCAGCTCTGCCTCTCAAGGGCTGGGATTAAAGGCTAATGCCATCACACTACACCAAGCCGTCCGCCTCGTTTTTTGAGACAGGAGCTCACTGAACCTGTGGCTTACCTATTAGGTTAAGCCCGTTGTCTGGTGAGCCCTGGGGATCCTCCTGCCTCTGCTCCCCAGCACTGGGGTTGCAAACATGCACTGTGAATTTGGAAGATACAGCCCGGGCCCCAAGACTTGATCAACAATTACTTAACAACTGAGCCATCTCCCCAGACCTTTTTTTAAGTTCTTTTTATCTCATCCCTTGCTTTCCTATGGATTCATTGGGTCTCACTTTGTAACCCAGGCCGGCCTTCAATTCCAGATCCTACTGCCTCAGCCTGGGCTTGCAAATGTACAGGGCCACACCTGACTTCCTTTACAATAACTATTTTAAAATATTTTATTTAGCCAGGCAGTGGTGGCACACACCTTTAATCCCAGCACTCAGGAGGCAGAGCCAGGCGGATCTCAGTGAGTTCAAGGCCAGCCTGGTCTACAAAGTGGGTTCCAGGACAGCCAGGACCGTTATACAGAGAAACCTTGTCTTGAAACACCAAAAAACAAACAAACAAAAATTTATTTGTCCTGTATGCGCGGGGTGCTGATGTAGGCCAAAAGAGGGTGTCATATTCACTGTAGCTAGAGTTACGGGGAATTGTGAGCTAGGAACTGAACTCAGGTCCTCTCCGAGAGCAGCACCCACTCCTGACTGCCGAGACATCGCTCCAGCCCCCCTTTACAAGATCTTACGCCTTGCAGATAGTTGAGCTATATTAATGAGACCCATACCGTGTATTGCTTTTTATAATCTCATCATCAATCCTTAGAGATCTGTTTGGCCATCTGGCATTTCTGGTGAATCTTAGCTATTCTTCACATTTTCCTTTTGTGCTATTTTTTTTTCCCCTCTCCTTGGGAGCTACTCAGTTTTCCTGGGAACACAATTCTTTGAAGTCAGTAACAAAGACAGGTCCCTCTGGAGAGAACCTGTGTTTGCCTCCTTAGAGATCCGCTCTCAATTAAGCTCTCAGCTGGAGGTTTATGAATTCTGGGAAGGTCCCCTGGGGAGTGTTGGCTGGGTCTCCTTCCCAGCGCTGATTTTTACTTCTTTTCATCACATTTCCTGGGTGGAGGAAATTGAATATCCAAATTGAATATCCTCAAGGATTTCCTCCATATGGGAGTGCTGGGAGTGAACACACTCTAAGTGTTTGTTTATTTTTTTAGAGAGTGAGAGTGTGTGTGTGTGTGTGTGTGTGTGTGTGTGTGTGTGTGTGTGTGTGTGTGTAGGGGAGGGGTACATGCATGCCACCGAGCATGGCTGGAGGAATTGGGGTTCTCCTCTACTGTGTGGGATCCTGAGGTCATCAGGCTTGGTGGCAAACTCCTTTCCCTTTTGATCTATCTTCCTGCCCTACCTTTTAAAATTATATTTATTTGGGTTGGGGATTTAGCTCAGTGGTAGAGCGCTTGCTCGGCCCTGGGTTCGGTCCTCAGCTCCGAAAAGAAAAAAAAAATGTATTTATTTTATGTGTTGGGATGGGTGTGGGCACATGAGTGGCATAACACTCATACAGACGACACCTGGCCTGTGGCAGTCAGTCTTCTCCTTCCATCGTGTGGGTCCCGGGGATTGACTCAGGTTGTTGAGCCTGGCAGTGAGAGCCCTCACCCACTGAGCAACCAGCCAGCCCAAGGAAAAGATTTCAGAGAGAGCTCTTCCTCAGTACTGATACAGCTTCCTCTCTTCTTCCCCGAAGGGCCATCTGAGTGAGGGGTATGGACAGCTATGCAGCATCTACCTCAAACTGCTGAGAACGAGGATGGAGTACCACACCAAAGTGAGCATCTTCCATTCTCCATGGCTCCCGCTCCCTCACCCCATCCCTCCTCCAAGCCCTCCCAACCCCAGTCCTCCCTCTAGACCCTTCTTGGTCTTTATTAGCACAGTCTGGGACCTCAAGAAGTGGGGGTGCTATAGTCCAACTCTGTAAGGGGAGAAATCAACTGATTGAACAATGTGGTCAAGGACCCCAGGGTGACCTTTTGACCTCTGTTCATGGGGTCATTCTGTTCTGCATTTCACAAAGAGGATAACAACAATCATCCAGTGGGTGGTGTTTCCTGAGGAAAATGGCAAACATTTACTTATGTATATGTTTTAAAATTTATTTATATTTTATATGTGTGGTCTCCATATACATTATGTGCATCATGTGCATGCAGTGCCCAAGGAGGCCAGAAGAGGGCAGCAGATCCTCTGGAAATAGCATTATAAACAGTTGTGAGCTTCCGTGGGGGTGCTGTTATCTGCTGAGCCACCAATCCAGTACCATCTTGTCTTCTTGCTTTGAATTATACTTTTATTTATTTCAGGAGACCGGTGTCAGAGGACAACTTAGAAGAGTCAGTTCTTTCAGGGCTGGAAAGATAGCTCAGAGGTTAAGAGCACAGGCTATTTTTTCGAGGGGAATAGGGTTCAATTCCCAGCACCCACATGGCAGCTCACAGCCATCTGTCACAGCAGTTCTAGGGGATCCAGTGGCCTTTTCTACACTCTCTGGGCACCAAGTGTACACATGGTGTACATGCATACATGCAGGCAAAACACTCATAAACATAAAATAAAAATAAATCTAAAGAAATCATTTGGAAGATAAAAATAATTAATAAATAAAATGTACTCTTTAAAGTTTTAGGGGGGAAATTAGTTCTTTTCTACCATGTAGCCCCAGGTATCAAATTCAGGTCCAAACAAGCCAAAAATCTATAAATAAAGAACACTTTTGGGGTGATAAAGCAAGAATAAATGGAGTCTCGCCTTGTTCTAGCTCCATGTAAAGTGTTTGCTCTGGAATTTAGAGGCTCTTTTGTTTGTTTGTTTGTTTGTTTGTTTTGTTTTTCGAGACAGGGTTTCTCTGTGTAGTTTTTGGTGCCTGTCCTGGAACTCACTTTGTAGACCAGGCTGGCCTCGAACTCACAGAGATCCACCTGGCTCTGCCTCCCAAGTGCTGGGATTAAAGGCTCGGGCCACCACTGCCCGGCAATTTAGAGGCTCTTGATGCAATGACCTCCTATCTTTCTGTGGTCTGTTTCCATGTCCTATGGTGTCTTGGCTACTCCGGCAGCTGAGGCAGGAGGATCACTTGAATCCAGGAGGAGATGTAGCTAAATGGGCAGAGAGTGCTTACCTAGCATGCTCGAAGCCTTGGTTTTGATCCCCAGTGCTGCATAAACCTAGTATGGTGTGCACACATCTAATCCCAGCATTCAGGAGGCAGAGGCAGGAGGATCAGAAGTTCGAAGTTGTCCTTAACTGCATAGTGAGTTTCAGGTCAACTTGGGCTACATGAGACCCTGCCTCAAAACAAACAAACAAATACTTGAGATCAGGTTCTGTCTCTTCTGGACTCCCATGGGCTCACAGCAGCAGCTTTGGTACATTGCCAAGGCTGAGGAGATTGAGTGGGACTCAGAGAGGACCAGGGATAAGTGAGTGTCTGCTGCCCTGGGATTCCAGATGATCCACTGGGGAACATGCTCATATGCTGGGTCTCATTGCTCCTTGGGAGGACGTGCTTAGAATGTTCCAGAACTCATGTTGCAAGAGAGGGACCTTCAGCTCCGATGGTGGGTAGTGGGCAGTAGGTGTTGTTTGTTGGGAGCCTCATTAAGGGGTCCTGCCTCCCTCAAAAGGGTGTAGTTGACATAAGACCTGCTATAGTGCTTAATATTAGCAGCTTGTGTCCACACTGGTCTCACTGGGCTGTATGGGGGCTTTTCCCCCGAACTCCAAGGTACCAGGATTGAACCCAGGTCTTTGTGCTTGTGGGGGAACTACTCTTTCTAAGCTGTGTCCTCAAACAAGCACTCCATCCCTTGAGTAACATCGTCAGCCGAACGCTCCACCCACCAGGCTTCATCCTCAGCCCTCTTGTGCTTCATTCTATCTTCCTTCACCCAAATTCCCTTCCAGAATCCCAGGTTCCCTGGCAACCTTCAGATGAGTGACCGGCAGCTGGATGAAGCTGGAGAGAGTGATGTTAACAACTTGTAAGTGGCTATCCTGCTCCAGACCCAGTAGAGAAGTAAGCTTTAGTGATTTTAATTCTTGCTGCTGGCAACAGTGAGAGGCCCTGATGGTAGGAGACAGAGGCTGGGATGAGGAGTAAGTCCCCTGGGTGACTTGGCCCCAGGGTCACGTGTCCATTTGGAATCCTACCCAGACGTATTTCACTGTGGCTTCTCTGTCTTAGTCTCCACTTCCTAACCCCAAACCAAGTCTTGTCATCTTTCTTTTCCCCAGTGGAATTTTGAGAGGTTTAGTCTTTAAATAACTTTCATAATAATGCTTGGAAGGAAGCTGAGGTGTATGTCTATGCATGAAAGAATGCACCTGTGCTCACACAGGAATCCTCAGGATGAGGAAGCAGGACAGAGCATGGGGGTGGTGTGAATACCTGGCTTTGGTGGCTGGGGGTGTGGCTCAGCATTAGAGCACTTGCCTAGACTCTCCTAGTGAGGGGCTGGGGTATGACCCAGTGATAGAGCACTTGCCTAAAATGCCCCAGTGAGGGGCTGGGGGCGTGGCTCCTTAATGGTAGAGTATCTGCCTTGAATCCCCCAATGAGGTGCTGGGGGCATGGCTTAGCAGCATCATGCTTGCTTAGCATGTACAAGGCCATGGATTTCATCCTCAGCATTGGGTTGGGGCGTTGAGGGAGAGTCAGGGCTATAGACTCTGATTTCTGTTTCTTCCTGTGTCAGTTTTCAGCTCACAGTGGAGATGTTTGATTACCTGGAGTGCGAACTGAACCTCTTCCAGACTGGTGAGTCCCTTCCCTCTTAGCTGACCGGGGCTGTCCTAGGACTCAGTCTCCTGATTCCCAGCCTGATCCGTGTGGTCCAGCTGGCCCAGCCCTGTGGTTTGTCCGTCTTCTTTTGTTTTGTTAAAGACAAAGTCTCTGTGGCACGGGTTGGCCTTGAACTCACAGCAGTCCTCCCTCAACCATCTGAGCGTTGGGATTACAGGTTTGCACAGTCACATCTGGCTGGCCGAGCCCTTGCTTAGCAGAGGGGATTGAAGCGGAGCTGTCGCTTCAGCCTTTGCTCTCTCCTCGCACAGTTTTGAAGTTATTTCATGTCAGATAGGGAGACCGGTCGCTCTGCCCGTCCCAAGGGGCCTCCCTCCCTCCTGGCCATCAATCTCCGAGAGGCTCTTTTGCCATTTCTGACATCCACTGAATGGTGGCCACCGTTCCAGCCAGTCCTGTCTGTAATTGGAACTGCGCTGCCACACAGGCAAGCTCTCTGCTCAGAAGGGGCGTGCAATCAGATTTTTCTTTGGGCCGCCAACCAGCTCCCAAATAAAGACATAGAGACTTATTATTAATTGTGAATGCTCGGCCTTGGCTTTGACATGTCCAACTAGCTCTTTTAACTTAATTTAACCTGTTTCTAGTTATCTACGTTTTGCCTCGGGGCTTTTTTACCTTTCTTTCATTATGTGTGTCCTACTTTCCTGCTTCCTCTGTGTCTGGCTGGCTGTCCCTGGCATCTTTTTTTTTTTCTTCTCCTGAGCCTAGATTCCTCTTCCTACTTACTTTCTCTGCCCATACCTCCTCCCTCACTATTGGCCATTCAGCTTTTTATTAGACCAATCAGGTGCCTTAGGCAGGTAAGGTAAAACAGCAACATATATTTACACAGTGAAACAAATATTCCACAACAGGGAGTCTGTCTTGAGCTAGGGACGCAGCTCAGTGCAGCAGAGTGCTTGCCTAGTGTTGCGGTGAGACCTCCATTTGTTGCCATAGCGCCCGCGCTACCGCTACCGATCACCATGTCCGAGCCAGGGGCTGTGGATTAAAAAATAGGGACCAGGGGCTGGAGAGATGGCTCAGCAGTTAAGAGCACTGGCTGCTCTTCCAGAGGACCTGAGTTCAATTCCCAGCACCCACATGGTGGCTCACAACTATCTCTAGTGGGATCTGACCCTCTTCTGGCATAAAGTCATACATGCAGATAGAGCATTCATATAAATAAATATTTAAAAAAAAAATAGAGACAAGAAACAGCGGGTCCTTCGCCCCAGCAGAATGCCAAATGCCATTTATTGAAAGAGGGAGGAAACCTTAAATACAGGCTTACAGCACAATGGGAGAACCCCGGAGGGCAGAAGTTCGCTACCCAATGTTCTACATTCTTGCATCTAAGCTGTTTACACCAAATACAGAATACATGAACGAAGAACCTCCAGTGAGCATTCAGTAAGGAGGAAACTGTCAGGGAATTGGCATAGGGAGGACATCTGGTCAAGGTCGACAAGCAAGGCAACAGCTACCCAAAATGGGGGGCCAGGGCCCTACAGCCTAGCATGCACACAGATTTTTTTAATCATGTATACATATGTGTCTGTGTTGGGGTATATACACATGAGTGCAGTTGCTTGCAGAGGCCAAAAGAGGGCATCAGATTCCCTGGAGCTAGAGTTACAGATGGTTATAAGCCACACTGCCCTATATGGGTGCTGGGAACTGAACTTGGGTCCTCTGAAAGAGCAGTATGCACTCTAAACTACTGAGCCATCTCTCCAGCCCTAATAACACTGTTAAAAAATAAAATGAAATAAATAAAATAAAAAATAAAAAGCCAGACATGGTTTTAGGTGGATATCTGTGAGTTCGAGGCCAGCCTGATCTACTGGTGAAGACACCTAGGGTTGTTACACAGAGAAACCCTGTCTCAAAAAACCAATAAAAAAGAGTGGAAGCAGCTAAGGATACCTGAGGTTGACCTCTGGTCCATATGTACCAGCCCACATGTGCACCTCCGTACACACGCACGCACGTACGCGCACACGCTTACCCAGAAAGCCAAAGCTGAGAAGTACAGTGCAGATGCTCTTGGCCTCCTCACTGGTCTCATCAGACGGTGTGAGGCATAGGCAGTCATAACCATAGAGCTCACAGAAGAGCGTCTAGCGGCCCGGCCAGGCTGAGAAACTTGCCTACAGTCACACTGCTGTAACTGCTGCTGGGGGTCAAGTGGCACTCCCAGGAGGAGATGGAAGTAGCTGTGATTGCTTGTCAGACAGGAACCTGAGGAAGCCAGTTGATACTGATGGCTGCCTTGCATGACAGTTGCTTTTAATTTGTGTCAAGGGTGGTTCAATTTGGGTGGTTCTCTTCTCTGTGGGGGGGATTTTTTGAGACAGGGTGACTCTGTGTTGTTTTGGTGCCTGTCCTGGATCTCTCCAGGCTGGCCTTGAACTCACAGAGATTCCCCCTGGCCCCGCCTCCCGAGTGCTGGGATTAAAGGCGTGCGCCACCACCGCTTGGCTGGTGGTTCCCTTTCTGTGTGTGTGTGTGTGTGTGTGTGTGTGTGTGTGTGTGTGTATGTGACTCTCTCTGCCTCTCTCTCATCCACCAGACAAACACACTTACAGGGTCTGTGCAGACCAGGGAGGTGCAACACATGAGGGCTCTGTGTCTACCCATGGGCCGGTTCACACGTGTGGGGACATCTTGTGTTGCATGTTACATAGAGTCTCTAGGGACAGTGGGCGGCCAGGACAAGAAAGATAGTCGGCCCTGGCCATGGGGTGGGTGATGGCCTATAGCCAGACGTCCAATAGCTGGGTGTAGAATTAAATAATGTGGGTAGATGCCTGGAATAAGAAATTTAGGGAAAAGCTGTAGCACAGTTGGTAGGTAGGGTGCTTGCCTAGCATGCATGAAGTCCTGGGTTCAAATCCCCGGCACTATATAAACCATGCGTGGTGGTGCATACTTCTCCCAGCATTCAGGAGGTAGATAGAAGTAGGAAGAACAGAAATTCAAGATCACTCTTGGCTGCATATTGAGTTCAGGATCATAGCATTTGCCTAGAGTCCCCCAGTAAGGATTAGGGGTATGGATCAGTGGTAGGGTGCTTGCCTAAAATTCCCCAGAGGAATTAGGGCCATGGCTCAAGAGTAGAGCCCTGGGCTAAAATCCTCCGGTGAGGGGCTGGGGTGTGGCTCAGTGGTAGAGCACCTGCCTAGAATCCCCTAGTGAGGGCCTGGGGGTGTGGCTCAGTGGTAGAGCACCTGCCTAGAATCCCCTAGTGAGGGCCTGGGGGTGTGGCTCAACAGTAGAGCCCCTGCCTTTGATATACAAAGTCCTGGGTTCCATTCTTAGTGCCACAAAAACAGAATACATGCACAGAATAAGTCTTGGTTGTATGTCAGACCCCTGATTCTACTCCACTGCAAAGATCTCTGCCTCACTGTGGCCTCTCTCCCCATCTTTGTCCACAGTGTTCAACTCCTTGGACATGTCCCGCTCTGTGTCCGTGACCACAGCTGGGCAGTGCCGCCTGGCACCACTGATCCAGGTCATCCTGGACTGCAGTCATCTCTATGACTACACTGTCAAGCTGCTCTTCAAGCTCCACTCCTGTGAGTATGACAGCTGCGACCATCTCATGCAAGCTTCAGGCTGGGAGCAGAGTCACAGCCTCGGCAAGTTCCCAGAGGCTTGCCGGCAGCTCAGTCAGTACCCTCGGCCTTTTGCTCTGGTCCAAAGGGCCTGGGACTCCTGGTCGTCTGAGAATGGAAGGGAGTAACCCAAGCTTTAGATTGCCCGAGTCTAGCTCCTGACCTCCAGTCCTTTGTCTTTGGAGGGCTCTTTCTGTCCACCTCTGCCTCTACCGTGTCACCATTCACCAGAAGTATCTTGTGTTCTTAGGTCTACATAAAGGACAGCTGACCTACCTGACCCACCCCTACATGACCTCCAAAGCAACCCAATCCCCCGTAACAGATGGAATTTTATGGAGAAATAGAAAATAGAAAACAGCTGCAGGGCTGATGTAGCTCAGTGGTAGGACAGTTGCTGAGAATTCCCAGCGGAGGGTATGGTTTGTAGCATTTGCCTAGAATCCCCCAGTGAGGGGCTGGGGGCGTGGCTTAGTTGTTGAGAGCTTACCTAGCATGCATAATGCCCTGAGTTCCATCCCTTCAATGCAGAAAAATTAAATATAGCTGGGCCTGGTGGCACATGCCTTCTGTCCCAGCAGTTTGGAGGCAAAGGCGTAAGGATCTCTGCCAGTTCAAGGCCAGCCTGAGCTACATACTAAGTTCCAGGCAAGCCTTGCTTACATAGTGAGACACTTTCTTAAATAAAGCAATAAACAAATCACAGCTGATCCAAGGCAGGGGGGCTGTATTTTGCCAAGCAGCAGATCCCTGCTGCACCCTTTAGGAAAAAAAAAAAGCATAATTTGAGAGCTGCTGGTTTTTAGAAGTTCTTATGCTTGGTGCCCTGGTTTAAAATGTGGGGTGCTGGGCCTGACTGGCAGGGGGGGGAGGGGTTAGGGGCAGGCTGGCAGGGGCTGGGGGGCCTGGGAGGGTTGGGCAGGCTGGCAAGATGGCTCAGGGGAAAGGTACTTACCACCAAGCATGATGACCTGAGTTCTAGTTCCAGAACCCACATGATGGTAGGAGAGAATCTACTGCCCAAGTTGACCTTTGACCTTCACCCTTGCATATGAGAGCACACACACACACATACATGCGCGCGCGCACACACACACACACACACACACACACACACACCCATATGTAACAAGGGACGCTTCATAACTGTTGACTAACAAGTAATGACTTGTTTTATTTTATTTATTTATGTGTTTCTTTGGTGCATGTGTGTGTACTCATACATACTTATAGAAGTCAGAAGACAATTTGCAGGAGTCAGTTCTCTCATATGGGTCCCAGGGACAAAACTCAGCTCATCAGGTTTGGCAGCAAGTGCCTCTACCTGGAACTGTCTCCCTCAACCAAATCTGGTTATTTGAGACTAGACAAGAGAAGCAAGCGTCACTGTGATTAATCTGGGGTCGTTTCCCTTGAGGGTGACTGCAATTTTCTGTTCCAGGATTAGAAAGGCTGGGTGCCATAGGGTGTGCCTCCAGGAAGCAAAGAGGGTGGACCAAATCCCAAGAGAAGGAGAGGCTGTTGCTTAGAAACATCATCAATTACAGGCGGAGAGTGTAGCTCTGTTGGCAGAGAGGGCTTTGCCTGGCATGTGTGAAACCCGGCACTCCCTCTCCGGCCCTGCACTCCCTCTCCGGCACTGCATAAGCGGAGCGTATGGCCCATACCTGAAATCTCAGCATTAGGGAGGTGGAGGCAGGAGACTCAGGTTTCTGGACCACATGAAACTTGGTCAAAAAATAAATAGCTATAGATAGGGGCTGGAGAGATGGCTCAGCAGTTAAGAGAGCTGGCTGCTCTTCCAGAGGGCGTGAGTTTGAATCTCAGCGCCCACATGGTGGCTCACAGCATCTATAACTCCACTTCCAGGAGCTCCAGCATCTTCTCTGGCCTCCTAAGGGTACTGCACTCACATGTATACAGATATACATGCAGGTCAAACACTCATATGCACAAAAATAAATATTTTTTAAATAGTTAAATAAAAATGAACAGGTAGAGGTGAACTTACTTTTATTTATATATTTCTTTTGTTTATTTGAATTTTATATGTACCAGGTTGGCCTTGAACTCACAATGTAGCCCAGGATAACTGAGTTTCTAACCCACCTATATCTGCCCCTCTCCTAGATAGTGGGATTGCAGGCATGAGCCACCAAGCCCAACCCTCTGTTGTTAATGTATTAGCATGAAGTTTGTCAATTAGTGAAATATTGATACTTTTGTGTGTGTGCTGTAAAGGAACACAGGGCCTTGTGTGTACTAGGTGAGTGTTTTACTGCTGAGCCACAACCTCAGCCCCTCCCTGGGGATTCTAGGCAGGTGCTCTACCACTGAGCCACACCCCCAGCCCCTCACTGGGGGATTCTAGGCAGGTGCTCTACCCCTGAGCCACACCCCAGCCCCTCACTGGGGGATTCTAGGCAGGTGCTCTACCCCTGAGCCACACCCCCAGCACTTTGTAACATACTTTCAGCTAAAATCAGTACTTCACTCAGATGTCCACTATTCTTACCCAGTTTCCTTTTCTAAGCTTCCACTCAGGATCCCGTAACACTTAGTCATTGTTTCTTCTCAGGCTCCCAACAGCTGTGACAGCTTGTCACACTTCCTTTGTTTTTGATGACCTTGACAGGTTTGAGTGATGATCAGATTTTTTTTTTTGAAATCTTCCTCAATTTGGCTGCTTCTTCTGTGTTTTTCTGCAAGTAGAACTGAGAGCAAGGATTTTGGAGTAGAAATTAAGTGCTATTTCCATTCTCTGTCTAATTTTATCTTTTTTGGTTTGTTTTTTGAAACAAGGTCTCTATGTCGCCCTGGCTGACCTTCAGCTCGCCATCTGCCTGGCTCACGTTCAGCACTTTCAATAATCATAATTTATACATGAACTTTGTGATTTTATCACTCATTCAAAACAGTTAAAAACAAGGCTTGTTGGCACACATTTGTAATCAGAAGCAGGACGATCGTCACAAGTTCAAGGCCAGCCTGGGCTATGTAGTATGTTCCATGACAGGCAGGGCTACAGTGTGAAAACTTGTCTCAAATAAACAAAGAAAAAGTCCAGCACAGTGGCATGGTTTGTTGTGCCGGGTACAAGAGAGTCTGAGGCTGGAGGATGGCTTGAGTCTAGGAGTTCAAGGCCAGCCTGGGTACCATAGCTAGAATCTGTGTCAGAAAGAGAAAAGGAGAGAGAGGGAAGGAGGGAAGGAGACTGAGGGGGTGGGGGTGTTAAAATAAAAGCTGCTGCCGTGGGGCTTTCCACGAAGTGTAAGAAAAGAACCAATTTCCCAGTGTGTGACCTCCACACACACACTGTCTTTGGCACAAGTACACCCACCTGCAAAGATAAAATGTAATTTTAAAAATTGGACCTAAATCAAATCAAGCCAGGTGTTGACCGTTACCTGTAATCCCAGCACACGCGAGGATGAAGCAGGAGGTTCATGAGTTCAAGGCCAGCCTGAGCTATATGGCAAGACCTGCTCTCCAAATAAAATAAAATGAAAACTGAGTCTTGGTTCATAGCTGAAATATGTAGCCTCTCGTGGTCCCAGATGTGAAGGGACCTCAGAGAAGCAGCTCCTTAGGGGGTTGGCCCTGAGGGACCACAGAGTTAACCGCGCCCTAAAGCCTCGGATGCATCCCGAGAGCGAACCCCGCTGTCACTTGCCTTCATCAGCCCTGCAGTTTGATGGAGCCGCTCCTTCCCAGGGATGCAGGCTCCACCCCACCCGGTCCAGAGCAGTGAGGTGCAGGAATGCAGAGGCTGAGCATCCTGCTGTTCCTGGGGGGTTCCCTTCATTACCAAACCTCAGGGCGGGCGTCTTAGCCAAGAGTGCCAGAGTGGGTCGGCCGGCCCCTCCCTGAGCCCTGATGCAGCTTGCCCGATCCCTGGTCTCCATGTACTCACACGCTCCTTGCATTTTCCTCCAGGTCTTCCGGCCGACACCCTGCAGGGCCACCGAGACCGCTTCATGGAGCAGTTCACAAAGTGAGTGACTCTGGAGAAGGGAGAGAAGTCCGATCGAAACATACACCATAGCGGGGTAGGGTAAAGTGCCTGCTGCATAAGCATAACGACCCGAGTTCGGATCCCCAGCACTCAGGTGAAAAAAGCCAGGCAGGGCAGAGCGCATCCCGCGCGCACGCGCCCGAGTCCCTGGACTGTGTATGAAGATGAGGGAACAGTTTTCAGGAGTCAGTTCTCTCCCTCCACCAGGTGAGACTCGAGGATTGAATTCAGGTCTCAGGCTTAGTGACATTACCCACTAAGCCACCTCACCAGCCCTGCTGTTCCTTCTCCTCTGGGCTGAATGAAACCCCCATCCTGTATGTAGACCACGTTTGTCGATGGACATCTAAGCCGCTTCCGCGTTTTGGCTGTTGTGAAAGGGACCACAGTGAACATGGGTGCGCGGGTATCTCTGTGGTGTGCTGAGTTTGACGCCTTCAGGTCTATACCACGCCATGTTACAGACAGACCGTACGGTGTTTCTAGTCTTTGGAGGAACGTCAAACTGGGTTCCATTGTGGCTGTACCTTTTTACCCACCCACAGTGTGTTAGGACTCTTCTCTCCCCACGTCCTCAACCCATGTTTACTTTCTTTTCCTTTTTTTTTCCTCATGTGTGTTTTCTTGATGATAGCCATTTTCATATTTCAGAGAGGAAAAACTGTCCATGTGGTTTTAATTTGCATTTTCTTGGTAGCTAAGGATATTGAGCTATATATATGTGTACATATATGTGTGTATATGTATACATTGGTGTCTTAGTTTCATGTCTGTCGTGATAAAATACCCTGTCATAAAGCAACCTAAGGATAGAAGGGTTTATTTGATGTGGAGCTCCAGGTTACAGTCTCTTACTTCAAGGAAGTCGAGGCAGGAACTTGAACTTGCGGCATCAGCCACATCACATCCACGAGCAGAGATAGAATGAATGAATGCATGCATACTTGCTGCTCAGCTTTCTTTCTTATACAATCCAAGGCCCCAAACCAGGGAATGGTGCTGCCCACGGTGGTTCAGGCCATCCCACATCAATGAAGGCAATCAAGACCATCCCCCACAGGCCCCCTTGATTTAGACGGTCCCTTGGTGGGACTTTTCCCAGATGGTTCTAGATTGCATCAAGTTGATCATTCAAACCAACCATCGTGGTTGGCCCTTCGTATTCCTTGTTTCGTGGATCGTTCATTTGTGAGGCGGCCATCTTGACGTAGTGTGTTTTCCTTCTTAACTTCTTCGTCCTTGACCATGATGCTTCACTTACTGGTTCCCCTCCGGAGCAGTCAAAGGACAAACACAGGGTTGAACTAACCCCCTGGTTTCATTCCACTAGGGAAGCCTGGTACACATCCTATGATGAATGACTTACTAAATCCTACGAGACAGGCCCTGGGGCTGGTTTCCTGGAATGTGAAACTCCAGTAGCTTGCGAAAGCACTAATGTCCATTACTGTTGGCGCCAACCCAGAGAGACAGGGACGTGTGGTCAGCTCGTTGTATTTCCTTCCATTTTTTTTCCTAGCTTAGGAAAACATCCCCTGTGAGGAGCTGCTTCGTTTTCTCTCCTGCACAGAGGTGAATGTTCTTGGAGGCCTCGCTGCCCTGGAGTTCAGGGATGCAGCAATGTCACAGGGACGCTTTAGTGTTGGGGTCTGATAGGCTGTGTGGAGACCCTGGGGAGGGGTTGGTTGATGGAGCTGAGTAAGCAGAAGTTCCATGCTGCAAGCAGAGGGCTACTGGAGCCTCAGCTCCTCCTTTTGGTCGGCTTTCTTGGGCTTTGGTGTTTTTACTCAGGTTAGAGGCGTGACAAGGAGGGAAATGCTTTCTTGGTGTTTGGTTCAGATGCACAAGGTTTGTGTAACATGCGTGAAGCCGTGGGTTCCAACTCCTAAGCACTGTGGAGTAGATTGGAGGAATGAGTAGACAGAGAAAAAATAGAAGAGAAGAGAGACGAATGGAAGGTAAAGTAGACTAGAGAACCATAGAATAGAAAAGAATGGAATAGCTGGGTGGTGGTGGCGCACGCCTTTAATCCCAGCAGAGCCGGGCGGATCTCTGAGTTCAAGGCCAGCCTGGGCTACAGAGTGAGTTCCAGGAAAGGCGCAAAGCTACACAGGGAAACCCTGTCTCGGAAAACAAAACAAACAAACAAAAAGAATGGAATAAATAAAGAATAGAACAGAATAATAGAATGGTGCTTTTCCAGTAGCTGTAACAAAATACATGAAAAAAAGCAGCCTAGCGGAACTGGAGGGTACAGTCCAGCATGGCGTGGAAGTGACGGTGGAGAAGATCACTTCCCCTTCATGTCCCTCCAAGCCCTCTATTCCTAGGAAGGGAAATCTGCCAGCAGCAGTGTGCCGTCCGCAGCCCGAGGAAATGAGTTTGGGGGTCTGGGCAGTTTTCTGGTGTTGTCAGAGTTGTGAGAAGATGCGTGAGAAACGCGACTTAAGGAAGGAACAGCTTCCTGTGGCTCACAGTCTGAGGGCGAGGTCCATGGTGATGGGGACGGCCTGGCGGCAGGAGCTTGGGGCAGCTGGTCACACTGCCTCCGAGGTCAGGAAGCTGCCCCCGGCTTCAGTTTCTCTCCCTACACACGTGTTTACTTATTTATTTTTATTTTTTTAAGGGTTATTTATTTATCTATTTTATAGACAGTGTTCTGCCTGTATGTATACCTGCATGCCAGAAGAGGGCGCCAGGTCTCATTACAGATGGTTGTGAGCCACCATGTGGTTGCTGGCAATTGAACTCGGGACCTTTGAAAGAACAGCCAGTGCTCTTAACCTCTGAGCCATCTCTTCAGCCCACGTTTATTTATTTTGTAGGGCTGTGCCACAGTGTGCTTGTGTAGACCAGAGGACAACTGGAGGGAACCGGTTCTGTCCCTCCATCCTGTGGGCCCCAGAGGCTGACCTTAGGTCATCCGGTTTGGCAGCAAATGCCTTTACTCACTGAGCCTTCTGGACGGGCCCGTGTTCTCCTGATTCAGCCCCGAGGGCTGGTGCTCCCCAAATTCACAGGGGAAGGAGGTTCTTCCCATCTCGGTTAAACCTCTATGGAAACACCCTCACAGACAACACCGGAAGTGTGTCCCCATGGTGATTCTAGGTCCCGTCAAGTAGTCATCAAGATTGACCGTCTCTGAGACTGTCCAGTCTTCAACAGGATCTGCAGCGTTGATTATTCTTTTCTCATCACTGGTGACTGAGAACTCACTGTAAAAGACCTCACTCAGTCTGTAATACCATTTTTGAAATTTTATTTTCATATATTTTTATGTGTGTGTGTGTGAGAGAGGCGGGGGGTAGTGTCATGGTGGTGTGAATGTAGAGATCAGAGGGCAACTTTATGGAGTCGGTTCTCTCTTTCCACCTTTATGTGGGTCCCAGGAATCAAACTCAAGTCACCAGGCTTCTTTCTTTAGATGGCAAAGTGCCTTTACCCACCGAGCCGTCTCCCTGGCCCTATAGTATCACAATCGAATCCTGGCATCATGGAGGGCAACCCAGCAACCCACCAAGAGCGTGTGCCTTTAAGATGGACAGAGGGTGGGAATGCTGGGAAGTTGTGTTCCCGGGACTGGCAACCAACCACGTCCAGCACCCCTGAGATGCTTGTGTACTCCCAGGTTGAAAGATCTGTTCCAGCGCTCCAGCAACCTACAGTACTTCAAGCGGCTCATTCAGATCCCCCAGTTGCCTGAGGTGAGTGCACCCATGAGGGGCTCGGCATGGCTCCGGGGCCTGTCAGGTAAGCATCCTTTAAAGGTGTGTCTTGCTTCTCCAGAATCCACCCAACTTCCTACGCGCCTCAGCCCTGTCAGAGCACATCAGTCCTGTGGTGGTGATCCCGGCCGAGGTGTCTTCTCCAGATAGTGAGCCTGTCCTGGAGAAGGATGACCTCATGGACATGGATGCCTCCCAGCAGGTACAGGAGCCTTGTGAGAGGAACTTGGCCCTTCCAGTTGCCCCTAGAAGAGATAAAAGGATAGGAGAGGCTCCTAGCTTGGGTGTATCTGCTCAGACAAGGCCTGCTCGGCTTTAATATTTGGACACGGCGTCTCACTACGTGGCCCATGCTGGTTTCAAATTCCTGGGCTCAAAATCCTCCTGCCTCTGCCTCTAAGATGGGTACAACTACACATGTATGCCAGAGTGCCTAGTTGGATTCCTCTTTCTCACAAGAAAGTGGGAGATTAGGCTGAGCCCTCTACACTCGGCTCCCGGAGTGATCTTAGATAGGTCTCAGCCAAACCAAGAAAACAGAATCGTGAAGCCAAGCATGGTGGTCCATGCCTCTGATCACAGTACCTGGGAGGTGGAAGCAGGAAAAGAGGAAATCAAGGTCAGCTTCAGCCACACAGCACATCATGAGACCCTGTCCCCAAAATACGGAGGGCTAGAGAGTTGGTTCAGCCATTAGAACGCTGGTTGCTTTTGAAGAGGACCCGGGTTTGATTCCCAGCACTCACAAGGTGGCTCAAAACCATCTTTTAACTCGAGTCCTAGAGGAGCCCACACTGTCTTCTGCCCTCTGTGAGCTCCAGGCACGCACACAGTATACAGACATACATGCAGACTAAAAAGTTTTGTTTAAGTACAAAGACAGACAGACAGACAGATAAACAGGAAGGAAGGAAGGAGCCAGGCATGGCAACACACAGTTTAATGCCAGTACTCAGGAGGCAGAAGCAGAGGGATATTTCTAAGTTCCAGGCCAGCCAGAGATACATTGTGTGCCCCTGTCTAAAAAATGAAATAGTAAGTTGCATGATAGCCCATCCCCCGCGCACACACCCGAACAATTTTCTAGGTCTCTGACCTATTCTGCCCTTCCCCCACCCTGCCAATCACTGCAGAATTTGTTTGACAACAAGTTCGATGACATCTTCGGCAGCTCGTCGAGCAGCGACCCCTTCAATTTCAACAATCAAAATGGCGTGAGCAAGGATGAGAAGTGAGTCCATGCTGGGTGGAAGGAAGCCCATGGTCTAGAGCTGAAGTTAAGCCCTGGTCTGCCTTGCAACCAAGAGGAAGGAATTCTGTGGGTGGGGGTGGGGTGGGGGGGTGTGTCTTGGTGTTTTTATGTGTATATATGTGTATGTGTGTTTATAGTGTGTGAGTGTGTATATGTGTGTGTGTTTGTGTTTGTGTTGGGTGGTAGATATATATACATCTATATCTATGCTAGTGCACTTGCCTATGCGTGCCTGTGTGGTGTCTAGAGGCCAATGTTGGGTGTCTTCCCTTTTGCTCACCACCATTTTGTGTGTGTGTGTGTGTGTGTGTGTGTGTGTGTGTGTGTGTGTGTGTGTGTGAATAGCTGTGGAGGCCAGAAATAGGTATTGGATCTCCTGGAGCTATAATTAGAGGCAGGTCTGAGTTGCCCCCTGCAGGTCCTGGGAACTGAACTTGTTCCTCCACAAGAAGAAATGCTCTTGACTACTGAGCCATCTCTTTCTCTCTCTGGCACGGCACTTCTTTAAGAAAAAAAAAATTGTTACATTTGTTTTGTTTGATTATATGTGTGTGTTGTGGGTCCGGGCGGCAGTGGGGGAGGACACGCCAAGATGTACTTGTGGAAGTACGAGAGCTTCATGGAGTCTTCTCTCTCCTTCCAAAGTCAGGTTATTGGCTTGGGAGCACTCACCTTTTCCTACAGAGCCGCCTCACCCACACTGAGAGAGAGTTGGGGCTTTGCTCAGTGGTAGAACACTCACTTAGCATGCCTAAGGCCTGGGCTTCAGTCTCCAACTATAGAAGGGGCCAGGGCTAGAGAAATGGCTGGGTGCTGAGCGCCCTTGCTACGTCAAGTTCATTTCCCAGCACCCATGTTAAGTGGCTCATAACTGTCTGTAACTCCCGGGGATCCAACACCCTCTGCGAACTCCGAGAGCACCCCACACATGTCTGCATATACTAACAGGCAGAGGCACACACATAAATCTAAAGAATTACTTTATCTCTTAACCCCTCTCCAAATATGACCCCCTGTATCCCAGATCAGTAACTGTGAACATGTAGGGTAAGATACCTCATGTTTACAGTACAACCACCCTAAGTATCCTAGCGTTATTGGTTCCAGATTCACCCCCACAGACACACACGGATACAAAGTTCAGCCACTGTGCGAGACTCCACTATAAGACTGGATACTGTCTGCCTAGAACCTACATTCCTCCCTTTCTGTACCCTTTAGGTCACCTCTATGTGACTCATAGCACGTGATACATTGTAAAGACTACATTGTTTCTTTCTGTGTTTTGTTTTTCTTTTTATACATTTTTAAATTTTGTGCTGGGAGGGAACGGCTGCATGAGCACTGTGGCATTAGTGTCTACGTCAGAGGACAGCTTGCAGGCATCAGTTCCCTCCCTCCACCATATGGGACCCAGGGGTTTAACAAAGATTGTCAGGCTTGATGGTAGGCATCTTCACCCTCTGGGCCAGCTCACCAGCCGCTGTTTGCCTGTAGTGTTTAGGGAATAATGACAAAAACAAAAGTCCATATGAAATACATAAAAATACATAGTCGATCTAGATGCAATTTTTTTTCTCGCCCAGTATTTCCCATTCCCAGTCTGTTGAATGCACAGATAGAACCTGCAGATGAGAAAAGTTGACTGTAAAATTTGTTTGGTTTTTTTTTGTTGTTTTGTTTTTTGAGACAGGGTTTCTCTGTGTAGTTTTGGAGCCTGTCCTGGAACTCGTTCTGTAGCCCAGGCTGGCCTCGCACTCACAGAGATCCGCCTGGCTCTGCCGCTCGAGTGCTGGGATTAAAGGCGTGCGCCACCCTCACCAGGCGACTGTAAAATTTATACTGCAAAGAATCATTATTATCCATGGGGCTAGAGATGTGGCTTCATTTGTAGAGTGCCTGCCTAGCATGCAGAGACACCCCAGTACCGCATAAACCAGATAAAGTAGCACGTGTCGAATCCTAGCACACCGGGGGAAGGGAGGGGAAGAGGGAGAGAGAATCAGCCTCCACTTGACATCTGGTAACAACAAGAAAAGTTTTTGTTTAAGAGAATGGCCCCAAATGAACACCAGCCTCCCCCTCCTTTTCCAGTCTGTCAGATACATGGAGGGGAGGGGTGGGGCGGACTGACTCCGGGCCTGCTCGTCTCTTCTCAGGGACCACTTGATTGAACGCCTGTACAGAGAGATCAGCGGGCTGACAGGACAGCTGGACAGCATGAAGACTGAGGTGCGTGCTAGGAGCCGTCTACCCTTGGGCTTCCCCGACACGTGGCACTCGACATGTGGCACTCGATCCGTCTACCCTTGGGCTTCCCCGACATGTGGCACTCGATCTGTCTACACTTGGGCTTCCCCGACCCGTGGCGCTCGATCTGTCTACACTTGGGCTTCCCCAACACGTGGCGCTCGATCTGTCTACTCTTGGGCTTCCCCGACCCGTGGCGCTCGATCCGTCTACACTTGGGCTTCCCCGACCCATGGCCCTCGTCATTGGTGTCTCATGATATGATTTGGACCCTGTCCTAAGACATGACAAAGCCGGTGAATTTGGTCATCTCCAAGTCTCAATTAGAATTCATTGTCATGTCATGGGACTTTAGGGTGGCAGTTAAGCTGGGGACCAGTGTCCCTGGGAGCCATGATTATGGCTTGGCCCTCAGACCATGAGAAAGACCAATTTTTCTCATAAGGTCCTTGAGAAAGCTTGATTTAGGAGCTGGAGGCTGTATGGCTCAATGATCGATGACTTGTCTGAATTTATCAGTGTGGAGCTTGGAGTGTGATAGAGCACCTGCCCAAAATTCCTCAGTAAGGAGTGGACTATATGCCTCAGCCAGAGAGTGTCTGCTTAAAATTCACCAGTGATGGCCTAGAAGTGTGGTTCCCTTGTAGAGAACTGGGCTAAAGTGCCCCAGGAAGGGGCAGGAGGCATGGCTCCTTGGTGGAGGCCTTGCCTAGAATCTTTCAGTAAAGGATTGGAGATGGCAGTGGGGGGGGGAGTTGAGTGGTAGGAGCATCTGCCTAGAATCCCCCAGTGAGGGGCTGGGGTGTGGCTCAGTGGTAGAGCACCTGCCTAGAATCCCCCAGTGAGGGGCTGGGGTGTGGCTCAGTGGTAGAGCACCTGCCTAGAATCCCCCAGTGAGGGGCTGGGGTGTGGCTCAGCGGTAGAGCACCTGCCTAGAATCCCCCAGTGAGGGGCTGGGGTATAGTTCAGCAGTACAGCTACTGGCCTAACCTGAATAAGACCCTCGGCTCCCTACCCAGAGCACCTAAACAAAACCAAAAAAAATGTTCTCTGTCTGGTTGGTTGGATCTGTGGGTCAGGAAGTTTGAAGGTAGATCAATCATAATGGGTCGATGCCACCAAGAGAAAAGTCGTCCCCGTCCTGCTGGGGGCCCCCATGGGGCAGCCTCACAGGACTTGGCCCCTTACCCCGGGTGCCCCTGACAGAGCCAGCGGGCCATGCTGCAGCTGAAGGGCCGCGTGAGTGAGCTGGAGGCAGAGCTGGCGGAGCAGCAGCACCTCGGGCGGCAGGCGACGGATGACTGCGAGTTCCTGCGCACCGAGCTGGACGAGCTGAAGAGGCAGCGGGAGGACACGGAGAAGGCGCAGCGCAGCCTGACCGAGATAGAAAGTGAGGGGCCGGGGCTGCAGGTGTGGGCGGGAGCGGGCCGGGTCGGTGCCGCTTCCAGTAAGCAGAGCCCGAGGTGCTTGCTTGCCCTTGGCCTCAGATGCGGAGACGGGTTTGGTGACCCAGCTGGTCCCGTAGCAACCAAAGACACGGTGATGATGGGCGCGCCTATCCTGGGAGAGGGAACTCCTAAGAGAGGACAGAGACCTAAGGGGGCAAAGCGGACATGAACCTCAAAGCCTGGCTGACGTCGATGCTGTGACTCTTAGCTAGGGTTTCTATTGCTGTGAAGAGACACCATGACCACGGCGACTCAGGGAAAACATTTTTTAACTGGGGGGGGGGGCTGGCTTACAGTTCAGAGGTTCAGTCCGTTGTCATCATGGTGGGACATGGAGGAGTGCAGGCAGACATGGCGCTGGAGCAGAGGCTGAGAGTTAATACACCTTGACTTGCAGGCAACAGGAAGTGGTCTATCTCACTGGGCATAGCTTGAGCACAGGAGACCTCAAAGCCCACCCCCACAGTGACACGCGTCCTCCAACAAGGCCACACCTAATAGTGGAGGCCATTTTCCTTCAAATTACCACACTGTGTGTGTAGATATCAGTCTGCAAAAGAATTTGAATCAGGGGGATGTTTATTCAAAGACGACAAACTTTATGTCCAGTATAAGTATAGTACAGGTATTTACCTGTAATTCCAGAACTCTGGGGGATAAGGCAGGAGGATGACCATAACACTAACTTGGACAGTGTAGCAAGATCTTCTCTCCCAATAAAAACCCCAAATTAATTAGATAACTTCTAGCTGAGTGTGGTGGTGGACACCTGTAGTCCCAGCATTCAGGAGGACCAGAGGTTTAAAGTCATGTTAGCTACATAGCCAGTTTGAGGCCAGCCTGGGCTACATGAGACCATGTCTTTGGAAAAACAGCACATGGGAGGCAGAAGCAGGCGGATCACTGTAAGTTCAAGGCCAGCCTGGTCTACAGAGCGAGTTCTAGGATAGCCTGAGCTGTTACACGGAGAAACCCTGTCTCAGAAAGAAAGAAAGAAAGTCAGTCAATCAATCAATCAATCAATCAAAATTAATAAGGAATAAAAACATCCTTAGTGCCCCCAGCTTACTGGAGGGAGGATGTGGGGATCCCATCCTGGGCAGAGGCCTCACCTTGGTCTTTCCCAATGCAGGAAAGGCCCAAGCCAATGAACAGCGGTATAGCAAGCTAAAAGAGAAGTACAGCGAGCTGGTTCAGAACCATGCCGACCTGCTGCGGAAGGTACGAACTCGGACCCCTCCAGTCCTCCCGTAAACCCCACATTACAGGAGAAAGAGTGCAGACCTTGGGGTTCCTCCAAGATGCACTTCTATTTATTTATTCATCCTCTGTGTGTGTGTGTGTGTCTGTGTGGATGTGCGTGTGTGTATGCAGTTGCTTGAGGAGGCCAGAAGAGGGCGACAGTTCCTCTAAAGCTGAAATCACAGGCACTTGTAAGCCACCCAGCATGGGTGCTGGGAACCAAACCTGGGTCCTTTGAAAGAGCAGCGAGTGCTCTTAAGCACTTACCCATCTCTCCGGCTCTTGCACCCCCATGTCTTAACCCCAGCTTCTTGATTTCTGTCTTGTGTGCCAGCCACAGTTCGAGTTACCCCTCCTTTGAGCTGGGCATAGTAGAAGACACCTGTAATTCTATCAGAAAGCAGAGGCAAGATCCTGCCCCCCAGAAAATAGTCAGGTGTGGTGGCACATGACTTTAAACCCAGCACTCCAGGGCAGCCAGGACTAAATAGTAAGATCCTATCTCAAAAAATAAATAAGTAGGTGTGCTATCTCACACTTGCAATCTCCAAACTTAGGAAGCAGAGGCAGGAGGATTGCTGTGAGTCTGAGGCTAGCCTGGGCTGCACAGTGAATTCCTGTGCAATTGGAAAAAACACTACACCAGACATCTGTGTATTTTTGTAAATCCCTGACAGTCTACCATCTGAAGGTCGTGACCCGATTCTGGCTTCCTTTGGGGTAGGAAAAATCTTCTCCTGTGTCTGCCTCCTTAATACTCACAGTCTGATTGAAATCACTGGTCCTAGAAGGAAGATGTAGGTTGAGCCTGAGAGATGGCAGCTCAAGATGCTCTTCTCCCCTTTCAGAATGCAGAGGTGACCAAACAGGTGTCCGTGGCCAGGCAAGCCCAGGTGGATTTGGAAAGAGAGAAAAAAGAACTAGAAGATTCCTTTGCACGTGTAAGTGACCAGGCCCAGCGGAAGGTGAGCAGGAGAGGCACTTGGGATGTAGGAGGGAGGTGTCTACTGGAAGTGGACTTTTCCTAGTGTTTTATGTGTACATATAACAGCATGCGTGTTGAAATCAGAGGACAACTTGTGGGTTTAGGTTCTCTTCTCTCACCATGTGGGTCTGGGGGATTGAACTCAGATCATCTAGATCAGCAGCAAGCACCTTGAGCCACTCATTCATCCCCTCGACCCCTGCCAAGGGGCTTTGAGGCAGCCATGGATCAGAGGACTTCATCATACTCTCCATGAGTAGTTTCCAGAGGGCCTTTGGAGGCCACTCAGAACCGCAGATGCTGGGGACTGGACGTGTCGCTCGGTTAGTAGAGTGCTTACCAAGCATGCTCGCCTAGGAGGCCCTGGGTTCCATCCCCAGCACCACATAAACCAGGCATGGTGGTGTACGTCTGTCATCCCAGCACTTGGAAGGTGGAGGCAGGAGGATCAGAAGTCCAGGGTCATCCTTGGGTATATAGCAAGTTCAAGGCTAGCCTGGGCTATTTAAATACATATTATATATTTTTATATATTTATAAATATGATATATATATATGTGTGTGTGTGTGTGTGTGTGTGTGTGTGTGTGTGTGTGTGTGTGTGTCATGGATTTTATGACTGGTTCACTAATCTTCCAAATTACTATTGGAAAAAAAGTTCTATTGTTGGTGAGGTCTGGGTTGTCACCTTCCAGCCTGCCCGTCAACCCAGTGGAGTGCACAGTCTCAGTCTGTATACATATGTGCACTCCTTCTCATGACTCTCCAGCTCACAGTGTTCCTGTTTTGCCTCCATTTCAGACTCAAGAGCAACAGGATGTTCTCGAGAACCTGAAGCATGAACTAGCCACCAGCAGACAAGAGCTACAGGTCCTCCACGGGAATCTGGAAACCTCTGCGCAGGTGAGCCACTCCCTGCTCCCCTCCGTCTGGTGCCTGGGTCCCTCCCGAGAGCCCTCCGGCCCCCACTGTAGTCCACACTTGTTCTTCGAGGCAGTGACAGGCACGTGGACAGGCTACCACCCCCTGCCCTCTGGAGCCAGGAGGTGGATCTGGAGGCCCAGTGAGGGGACCGTTTAATTTCCTCAGTTTCTCCCTGTTTCCACATGGTGACCTCTGCAGTCAGAAGCGAAGTGGCTGACCCAGATCGCCGAACTGGAGAAGGAAAAGGGCAGCTTGGCAGCTGCCGCTGCTCAGAGAGAGGAAGAGTTCTCAACCCTCCGAGACCAGCTGGAAAGCACCCAGATCAAACTGGCCAGCACCCAGGCAAGTAACAGACATCCACTGGGACACCGTGGAAGCCAGAGACAGGTGTACAGTGAAGGGTTCAAGGCCATTATGGCTGATGGCGAAGGCTTTCTGCGAACATAGTTCCTAAAGCCAAGTGTGTCTTTTTGTGTAAGAAGAAGAGTGTGGGGGCCAGGGCTGTCCCTCAGTGGGCAGAGCGTTGGTCCATCACGCACTGGGCCCTGAGTTCAGTCTCCAGACCACATCAGCTGAGTATGCAGGCTGACATCTGTAATCCCAGCACTCAGGATGAGGAGACCGGAGGATCAGGAGTTCCAGTTACCCTCAGCTCCCTAATACCAAATTTGAGGCCAGCTTGAGATACGAGTCCCTGCCTAATAAAATATGGGCTGGAGAGATGGCTCAGAGGCCCAATGCGCGCTGCTCTTCCAGAGGACCCATGCTGGGTTTTAACGATCTCTAGAAATACCCTGATAGACACAGCCCGAGGTGTGCTTTATTAATCCAGGCTTGTCTTAATCAAGATGACAAGTTAGCACTCCTTAGGAAGTCATCTGAGTGCCACCCTGGGAGTGGACCGAAGTCAAGTATTGTTTTCTGTGTGGAGCTGACCAGCTTCGATCTCATTAGCACGAGAGGCCAGGAATTCCAGTGTGGTCCCAGGTGGATGCTGCTTTGGGGTTCATTGTAGTGTACCTGGCCGACTCTCACCTCCCTGACCTTTGTCTAGGAGTCCATGTGCCAGCAGGTAAAGGACCAGAGGAAAATACTCTTGGCAGGGATCAGGAAGGCTGCCGAGCGTGAGATACAGGAGGCGCTGAGCCAGCTTGAAGAGCCTGCCCTCATCAGCTGCGCGGGGTCCACAGGTAGTCTTCCAGATGCCCACCTGCTGGGCCCAACTGCCTGGTACTTCCTGTTGGGGTTGAATCCAAGGGCCCTCAGCCCAGCTGCATGCTGGAGCCTCTGAGGCGTGCCCGCTCTCCCCATCCTAAGTCAGTTAAATCGGAAAATGCGGCATACTGCCTGCATGGTTGTGACTTTGTAGCCAGGCAGGTGAGGCACACACTGCCTCAGTCAGTGTCCTGGTTGTCACTGTGTCGACCTGACCATAGCACATGACAGAAAGGTCCACAGTGAAGAAGAAGACATGGAAGAGCAGCTCTCTTTGTGGCTGTAGGAACATGTGGTGGAGGCTGTTCATAACATGGTGGACCGTGAGCGGAGAGCAAGACAGGAAACAGGCAGGAAGAACCGATTCCCAAGATCTGTCCCCTGTGACCTGCTCCCGCCCAGATAGGCTCCACCTCCTACATTTCCATAGTCTCCCCAAATAGCACCAAAACTGGGAAACCAAGCATTGGAACATGGACTTATGCTTGGGAAGCAGAGGCAGGAGGATCTTTGTGAGTTCTAGAGCTATTTAGTGAGACCCTGTCTCAATATAATAAATAATAATAATAATAATAATAATTAATAATATGAGCTTTTCAGAGACACTTGAGGTTCAGACCTTACAGTGTGCCATACCCCTCTAGTGAGCAGTACCCTGAGACAATAGTGAAGTGAGAAATAGTTCTGGAGGGCTGGGGACGTGGCTCAGTTGGTAGAGCACTTGCCTAGCATGCACGAAGCCCTGGGTTCTAGTTGTAGTACCATGGATACATGGTGGTACATGCCTGTAATCCCACAACTTTGGGGAAGGAGGCAGGAAGATCAGAAGTTCAAGGTCATCTTTGGCCACATAGTGAGTTCAAGGCCAGCCTGGATTACCATGAGACCCTGTCTCAAAAGAAAGAAAAGCAAATAGATTATGTACATCCCATGAGCACAAGCACAGCCAGCAGCCCTCCTATGTAAGAAAAAGCCGATGGGGCAGGGACTCTCAGTGGGTCATCCCGCCCACCCAGCTGTTCACGTAGAACAAATTGTGAGAACTCAGGTGCTGACTTCCTATCTCCCCTCAGATCACCTTCTCTCCAAAGTCAAGGCTGTTTCCAGCTGCCTCGATCAACTGGAAAAGGACCGCAGCCAGTATCTGTCCTGCCCAGAAGGTAAAAGGAACAGAGGATGCGGGCTGTCACAGGGGGCAACCAGGCCAGGTGTAAGTATGTACATATGTACAACCGGGAGCTGGAGAGATGGCCAGGGGTTAAGAGCCTCTTGCAGAGGAGCTAGGTGCATCCTCCAAACCCCCCTCACCTCAGGCTGCTCACAGCTGCCTGAAACCCCAGTTCCAAGGGATTTGATGCCCTCTTCTGGCTTCCATGGGTATCTGCATTCTTGAGCACATATCCCCGCACAGACACATACATTAAATAAAAATGAACCTAAAAAGAAAATGGCGCCATCGATGGGCCTGAGACCTTACTTCCTGCGCCCTGCAGATATCAGTGAGCTCCTGCACTCCGTGACCCTGCTTGCCCACTTGACCAGTGACACCATCATTCAGGGGAGCGCCACCAGCCTCCGGGCCCCACCAGAGCCCGCTGACTGTGAGTATCAGAGTGGAAGGGATACCCATGCAAGCCAGGATGACAGGGCTGTTTAAACACCTGTCTCTTCTGTTTCTAGCTCTGACAGAGGCCTGTAGGCAGTATGGCAGGGAAACCCTGGCCTACCTGTCCTCCCTGGAGGAAGAGGAACCCATGGAGAAAGCTGATGTCACAGCCATGAGGAACTGCCTCAGCAAGATCCAGGCCATTGGCGAGGTATTGTTAGTGATGTGGTTTGCTTTTTGTTGTTGTTTGGTTGTCTGAGACAAAGTCTCTGGTAGCCCAGGCTAGCCTCGAACTTTCTGTGTAGCCAAGGATGACCCTGAACGCCTCTCCTCTTGTCTCTGTCTCCTGGGATTACAGGTCTAGACCATGATACCTCATTTATGTGGTGCTGGGGAATGGAACCCAGGGCTTCATGAGTGGTAGACAAGCACTCTACTAACTGAGCCACTTCCCCAGCCCCGTTTGGTTTTCTGTTTGTCTTTGAGACGGTCTCACATAGACCAGGCTAGCCTAGAACTTGTCATGTATCCAAGAATATCCTGGAACGGCTGATTATCCTGCATCCACCTCCCACGTACTAGGATTGCAGGCACACACCACCATGCCTACACAGAAAGTCATTTTTTAAAAAAAGATTATATTTATTTATTTGTGTGTGTGTGTGTGTGTGTGTGTGTGTGTGTGTGTGTGTGTGTGTGTGCATGTGCACATACATGCCAGTGTGAAGATAACCTGCCAAAAGAGCGCATCAAATGTCCTCTATCACTCTGCCTGTTCCTTTGATGCTGGGTCTCAGAGAGCCCTGAGACCTCTGCTAACCTCAAAGCCAACCACCTCCAGACATCCTCTGCCTCTGCCCCACTCAGAGCTTGGGACGCGGTCATGTGCCAAATACTAAGCTCTTTATGCTGGTGCTGGGATCTGAACCCCAGAACTTGTGATTGTGCAGCAAGCCCTCCGACCCACTGAACCATCTCTCTTACGTATCCACCTGGACTCCAGAAAGAGCTGGGGCTGAGAATCACCGACATCCTTATATTTAGAGACAGGATCTCACCGTGTAACCCAGGCTGCTCACGTATTGACAGGCCCACTGCCTCAGCCTCTCACAGGCTGGGATTGCAGGCTGGTGCCAACACACACACAGCAAGTCCGTCCAGAAGGACTTTTTAGCTGTGTTTAACTCACTGGCCTGCTGACACTGTCAAAGAAGAGGATAAATAGTACAGTTGATGCCCGTGACTACGGAGTTAGGGCCTGTACTAGTCTAGTTTCTTGTTCCTGTTACAAACACCTGCAAAAGCAGCTGAAGGAAAGGTTTGCTTTAGCTCACAGTTTGAGGCTTTGGAGGAGCGGGCATGGTGACAGAGCACGGGGCAGCTGCCCACATCGCATCCACCATCAGGAAGCAGAGGGAGATGGATGCTGGTGCTCAGCTCGATTTCTCCTTTTTATTCATTCCAAACCCCAAGCCCATAGAATGGTACCACTCACATTCAAGTGGGTCTTCCCAACTGAGTTAATCCAATCCAGGAACTCCCTCACAGACATGCTGAGAGGTTGTTTCCATGGCGATTTCAAGTCCTATCAAGTTGACAATCAAGGTTAACTATCCTAGGGCCACAATAACTGTAGCTGAATGGCTCTGTAGGGTTGGGGACTGGTGGCCTCCCAGTTGGACATGGTTGTAAAATGTGCAGAAAAGGGAGGAACATGAGATTCAATGTTGTTTGATTTTATCTTTGGCTCTTTATTCTTTGGGGGACCAGCCATTCAACTCCCAAATAAATACACGGAAACTTATTCTTACTTATAAATGCCTGGTCTTAGCTTGGCTTGTCTCTAGACAGCTTTTCTTAATTATTCCCGTCTACCTTTAGCCTCTGGGCTTCTTACTTTCTTACTCCATTGCTGGTTGTGTAGCTGGGTGGCTGGCCCCTTGAGTCCTCTCCTTCGTTTTTTTCTTGCTCCTTGGTCTTTTCTTCCCAGATTTCTCCTCCTATTTATTCTCTCTGCCTGCCAGCACTGTCTATCCTTTCTCCTGCCTGGCTATTGGCCATTCAGCTCTTTATTAGACCAATCAGGTATTTTAGACAGGCAAAGTAACACAACTTCACAGCATTAAACAAATGCAACACATCTTTGCATCATGTTCCACATCCAAAAGGTTGTAACACATCTTTAACTAAAATTCTACAGCAGTTCCAACATTCACATTATGGAAAGTTCCAGGTGGAGTCTATGACAGACCCTGCCTCCTATGCCTTATAGAAGGTTCCCATGATAGGGCCAAGAGAAAGCAAAGAGAAGACCAAGTGTCTTTTTAACCTCTGTGATACTGCTCACAGGACCTGCTGCCCAGGGGCCTGGACATCAAACAGGAAGAGCTGGGTGACCTTGTGGACAAGGAGATGGCTGCCACTTCAGCTGCCATTGAAGCTGCCACCACCCGGATAGAGGTGAGAGGATTGTGTAGGATTTCCCACAGCAACGTTTCTCTCAGTTCCCTCAAGCAGTGCTGTGCCTCGGGAATGTCTCAGTCAAAACTGCCAAGTGTGATGATGAAAACCTGTGATCTCAGCCCTTGGGAGGTGGGGGCAGGAGGTTCATGAATTCAAGGTCATCTTCAGCTAGGTTGTAAGTTTGAAGCCAGCCTGGGCTGTGTGAGATATTGTCTCAAAAAGAAAAAGGAGAGAAAGAGAAAAGAACACAAAACCAAAGGCCAAGGTCACTGCCTCAATGAGGGGATGAAAATGGAGTCCTTACAAAGAAAGATGAGTTTCTGCCAAGGTAGGATATTTTGGTGTCAGGCCATCTGGGGTTCAGTTTTCAGGCTGCCTGATAATTACGTGACTTATGTGAGTTACGTCACCTGGCTGAGACTTAGATCCTGTTTCTTTTTTTTTTTTAAGATTTATTTATTTATTATGTATACAGTATTCCGCCTGCATGTATGCCTGCAGGCCAGAAGAGGGCGCCAGATCTCAATACAGGTGGTTGTGAGCCATCATGTGGGTGCTGGGAATTGAACTCAGGTCCTCCGGAAGAGCAGTCAGTGCTCTTAACTGCTGAGCTTTCTCTCCAGCCCTAGATCCTGTTTCTATGGGACAGCCAATGATTTAGCTTCATTTCTGTTGCTGTTACAAAGCATCTTAACAAAAAGCAGCTTAGGGGAGAAGGGTCTATTTTTGCTTACAGTTTGAGAGTACTGAGAAGTCACCATGGCAGAAGCTGGAAGCAGCTCATCACATCCCATCCGCAGTCAAGAGCAGAGGGCATTAATGCATACATGTTCTCTTGCTTGCTTGTGCTCAACTTGATCTCTCCACTCTTTTATTTTTTCTGGGGCAGAGGGCAGGGGGAAGGGGGCAGTGGTTTGAGACAGGGTTTCTCTGTGCAGTCTTGGCTGTCCTGGAACTCACCAAAATCCGCCTGCCTCTCCCTCCTGAGTCCTGGGATTAAAGGCATGCCCCACCACTGCCCGGTGATTTCTCTACTCTTAATGAAGTTCAGGATCCCCTGTCTAGGGAATGGTGTTGCCTACAGTGGGCTAGGTCTTCCCACATCTGTTAATTTAATTAAGACATCCCTCCCGCAGACATACCCATAAGCCAACCCAATGTAGACAGTCTCTCATTGAGACTCTCTTGCTGAGTGAGTCTAGGTTGTCAAGTTGACTGTTAGAGCTAGCCATCACTGTCATAATAATAAAATGTCAGAGGTTGCCTGGTAGGTGTTAAAGAACTCAGGAGAAGCTGAATGGGTCCTGTTGGAAAGGTCTCACATGGCTTCTTTGGTGGAAAACTCACTCCCTACTGTGGTGTGAGCACCTGCCTTGTGGATCTGGTAGCAGCTGACCCTGGTGGTCAGGTACCACAGCTCTTGGTGTTTCGTGCACATCAGCCCGAGTGCCAAGGTCGAGACTCTACTGATTAGAGCAGTCAGCTCCAGCTGTCTACTATCTGATAGATGAGAGGTCTGGGGTTTTTCTGACTCACAAGGACAGAGATGAAGCTATCTAGATTCAGCCTTCTGTGCTACCACACCTGGTTGGATCCAGAGTGTATCAAGGTAGTGGTGGTTGATCAGGTTCATGATACATTTAGGAACCATGCTTCTTGGGGTGGGGATGTAGCTTGCCTAGAATCCCCCAATGAGGGGCTGGGAGTGTGGCTCAGTGGTAGAGCACCTGCCTAGAATCCTCCAGTGAGGGGCTGAGGTCCTGGTTTATCAAACAACATGCAGGAAGCCTGGGCTTAATTCTCAGTAATACACATGCACACATGCACGCACACACGCAGGCACACACACACACACACAGAGAGAGAGAGAGAGAGAGAGAGAGAGAGAGAGAGAGAAGAAACTACCCGTGCTTCTTTTTAACAGGAAATACTCAGTAAATCCCGAGCAGGAGACACAGGAGTCAAGTTGGAGGTGAACGAAAGGTCAGTGCGAGCCTTGGGGTCGCAGTAGGTAAGCACGGCCCTTGAAAGCAAGGCCCAGAGTGAAGTGTCACTCACCAGCTTTCCTCCAAGGCCTTTCCCTTAGGCTCCTTCAGCAGTCCCAGCACCTTTCCTGCCCCTCATTGCTACTCAAGGTTTTCCTGGTTTAGGAATGAGAAAGTAAGCTGCCCGCTTTCTTCTTACTGTCCCCGTCAACAACCCTTTCTTTTTCCTAGGATCCTTGGTTCCTGTACCAGCCTGATGCAAGCCATCAAGGTCCTCGTGGTAGCCTCCAAGGACCTCCAGAAGGAGATCGTGGAAAGTGGCAGGGTAAGCAGGGCTCTGGTGTAGGCTCCTTCTCCTTCCCTGTGTGCTGGAATCGGCTTTGCTGTGGCCTCCAACTGGCCTCCCTCACGGGCCGAGCTGCCATTCTCAGGGAAATTTCCCAGTCACTGTGGGAAGTTGAGGGTTCCTAGTAGCTGTCTCCAGGGGGCAATCAGCCAGTTCCTTCTAGCCTCAGGTTCCTGAGGCCACACAGACCTGCTGTGGAAACCCCGCTGCCACCTCGAATCTAGGTCTTCAGGGACAACTGGGGACTTTGGGGAAGTGGGCAGATCCCAGGAATAAGCCTGGTACTATCATCCCTCAGACATGGGAGACAGGTCTCTATAGATTCCCAGACCTGCAGATACTTAACTCTTTTAATAATCCAAATGCTCATAAGGCTGAGGCAGGAGGCTCTCAAGTTTGACCTCAGCATGGGCTACATAACTGGGTCTTTTCCCGAAACTCCCTTTGTGAGTCAAGGATATAACTTGATTGGTCGAGTCCCTGCTTGACATCTATAAAATCATGGATTCCATGGATTCCATCCCAAACGCTTCATAAAACCACACATGGTTTATTCCCAGTATTGGGAGGCAGAGGCAAGCAGATCTCTGTGAGTTCAAGGCCAGCCTGGTCCATACATAGAGACCCTGTCTCAAATCAAAAATGTTATGGGCTGGAAAGATGGCTGAGCACTTCCTGGTCTTCTGAGGGGTCTGAGCTCGGTTCCCAGCATCCACATCAGGTGGTTCACGACTGCCTGTAGCTCCTGCTCCAGGGCATCAGATGCCTCTGGCATCACTGGGCACCTGCATTTTCTTAACACAAACACAATTAAAAGTTAAAAATAAATCTCTTAAAAGCTGGGGATTTACTTTAATTCATTACCTCCAAGACCTTAGGGATGTTATTTTGCCTTATTGCATCTTAGTTTTCTTATACCTAAAGTGAGAATAAAGGCACTTAGCACTTGGTAGGCAGGCATTCTATAAAATTAGCCATTAATAGCTGGGTAGTGGGCCAACAAGATGGCTCAGCAGGTAGAGGAGCTTGCCACCATGCCTAACAACATGAGTTCAAGCTCCAGGTCATACATGGGAGGAAGACAGAGCCAATGCCTACAGACTTTCCTCTGACCAAGCTTTCCCTTTGCACCATGGCATGGACATGTCCCACCCACATGCACACGCAAAATACATAAGTAAATGTAATTTAAAAGAAAAAAAACCTGGGTATGGTGGTACATGCCTATAATCCTAGCACTTGGGAGGTTGAAGCAGGAGGACCAAGAACTGGAGGGTAGCTTAGGTCATGTAGTAAAGCCTGTCTAAAAACAACCCGGGCTGGAGAGGTGGCCTGTTGGTTAACCTGTTGCCCTTGCAAAGGACCAAGATTCAATTCCCAGCACCCAACATGGCAGCTCACAATCATCTGTAACTCCAGATCCAAGGGATTTGACCCCCTCTTCTGACCTCTGCACACATGTGCATGTACATGCAGACAAAAACCCTCATGCGTGAAATCTGCTTAAAGATTAAAATAAAAACAACTAACCAAGCTGTTCTGTTTTTGCTTCCCTAGGGTACTGCATCCCCTAAGGAATTTTATGCCAAGAACTCTCGGTGGACAGAAGGGCTTATATCTGCCTCCAAAGCTGTTGGTTGGGGAGCTACCGTCATGGTGTAAGTGTCTGGCTCCAAGGCTTCCCACATCCCCTTCCTCATTCCATTGATCACAGGGTCTCAAAAAAATTTTTATTTTTTTATAAATAAGGTAAACTATACCTGAGGAAAGATATCTGAGGTGGCTCTCTGGCTTCCACATGCTCTCTCTCTCTCTCTCTCACACACACACACACACACACACACACACACCCCTATGCATACATACACAAATAAATACAAAAAGTAGTGACTGGTACTGGAAGTTTGAAAGGGTCCTGGGGTCTCCCAGGACAGCAAAGGGGTAGGGCAAGCAGGCTGCCTTTCCTGCCTGGCCAGGGACTTAGGGGTTGGCTGGAAGTGGGATCATGATGGTTTCTGTTCTCTGCAACCTCCTCCTTCGTGTCTCTCCTGGGTTCTCAGGGATGCTGCTGACCTTGTGGTCCAAGGCAAGGGGAAGTTTGAGGAACTGATGGTGTGTTCGCACGAGATCGCTGCTAGCACAGCCCAGCTTGTGGCTGCATCCAAGGTAGGACCAGCTGGTGCTGGAGGCTCCAGCATACTGTGAGGCTAGCTGGGCCAGAGAGTCTCAGAAGAAAAACTTTAAACAGGGGCCAGCGAGATGGCACAGTTAGGAAAAGGCACTTGCCGCTAAAGCTGATGATGTGAGTTCGATCCCTGGGCCCTCCATGGTGGAATGAGAGAAATGACTCTCACAAGCTGTTCTCTGACTTCCATATGCACACCATGGCATGCACACCTACACATAAATACTACATAAATAAAAATAAAAACAAGTAAAACGGGCTGAGGAAGCTGGGCAGTCATGGCTCACACTTTTAATCCCAGTACTCAGGGGGCAGAGACAGGCTGATCTCTGTGAGTTCAAGGCCAGCCTGATCTACAGAGCAAGTTCTAGGACAGGCTCCAAAGCTACAGAGAAACCATATCTTGAAAAACCAAAAAGGAAAAAAAAAAAAGGGTGGCAGATAGTTTATTAGCAAAGCACTTGCCCCAGATTTACTGGTAAGAGGCAAGGGCCATAGCTCAATGGTAGAGCACCTTCCTAGAATCCCCCAGTGAGGGGCTGGGGTGTGGCTCAGTGGTAGAGCACCTGCCTAGAATCCCCCAGTGAGGGGCTGGGGTGTGGCTCAGTGGTGAGAACCTGCCTAGAATCCCCCAGTGAGGGGCTGGGGTGTGGCTCAGTGGTAGAACACCTGCCTAGAATCCCCCAGTGAGGGGCTGGTGTGTGGCTCAGTGGTAGAGCACCTGCTTAGAATCCCCCAGTGAGGACCTGAGGTGTGGATCAGTGGTAAAACGCACTACCCTGGGTTCCATTCCTAGTATCCAAAATCAAAACAGTATCTGTTCACTGGGTATGGTATCTAGGCACACACCTTTGATCCCTGTACTCATGAAGCAAAAGCAGGTGGACTTCTTGCGTTCGAAGCCAGCCTGATCTCCATAGTGAGCTCCAGGCCAGTCAAGGCTCCAGAGTGAGGGAGACCCTGTCTTAAAAACCAAAAGTATCGGGCTGGAGAGATGGCTCAGAGGTTAAGAGCACTGACTGCTCTTCTAGAGGTCCTGAGTTCAATTCCCAGCAACCACATGGTGGCTCACAACCATCTGCAATGAGATCTGGTGCCCTCTTCTGGCCTGCAGGGATACAGGCAGACAGAACATTGTATACATTAATAAATAAATAAATCTTTAAAAAAAAAAAAAAAAAAAAAAAAAAAAAAAAAAAAAAAAAAAAAAAAAAACCAAAAGTATTTGGTGATGAAATTGCTGAGCACAGACTACAAGTCACCTGACTTGGCCTTTAAAGTCCATGTAACCAATGTCTGCTCCTCCTTTGTCTCTGAACTTGAACCACTGGCCCATTTAACCCTCATGCAAAGCTGTTGACCAAGGTCTCCTCACCAGGGAAACAGAACTTCAGTGGTGAATGGTCTTTATTCCACCCTTTCTTAGCGTCCCAGGTTTTCCCGCACCCGGAAGAGTTCATGCAGATAACTGTCCAAGCTAGAGTGTAGTGTAGGTAACCCAACCTATATGCCAGGGATGACTTTCTATTCTCGACATGTCAGGGACTGGTCCCACAGGAAACAAATGATTTTGAGAGGTTGACTGGTAACAACGGTCGGTGTTTGCTGGGCACCACCAGGCCAGCTGTTTGGTCCCGTCCTCGATGCTTCTGATGTCGCCTGAACGAAAATGTCCTTTGTCCCGGCAGGTGAAAGCTAACAAGGGCAGCCTCAATCTGACGCAGCTGCAGCAGGCCTCTCGGGGAGTGAACCAGGCCACGGCTGCTGTGGTGGCCTCAACCATTTCCGGCAAATCTCAAATTGAGGAGACAGGTAGCCTTTCAGCCACTCCGAATCTCTTTCCCCATGATCTCAATTTAGTAATTTAGTTCTGTTTTGTTTTGTTTTTTCCTTCTTCTTCTTCTTCTTTCTTCTTCTTCTTCTTCTTCTTCTTCTTCTTCTTCTTCTTCTTCTTCTTCTTCTTCTTCTTCTTCTTCTTCTTCTTCTTCTTCTTCTCCTTCTTCTTCTTCTTCATGTGTGGTGTAGGTGTAGGTATGTATACAAGTGTTTACTAATGTGTGTGGGGCCAGAGTTTGGGTCTCTTCCATTGTTGATTCTCCCTCATAACATTCTCTCTGTTTCTGTCTCTCTCTCTGAGATAGGATCTCACTGTGTAGTCCTGGCCTTAAACTCATAGAGATCCACCTCCATCTGCCTCTGAGTGCATGGATTAAAGGCATGCACCACCTCACCCAGCTCTTCCTAGACACACTCTAAGGAAGGATGTAGGTGGCTAGGGATGTAGCTCAGTCACTAGAATGCTTCCCTGGCATGTGTGAAGCCAGACTTGGTCTTTTTACATCCGTGCTAATCTCCTAAAGCAGAACATCACATAAGCATGATTTGTTGGTTTGGTTTTTTGTTTTGTTTTGTTTTTTCGAGACAAGGTTTCTCTGTGTAGCTTTGCACCTTTCCTGGAACTCACAGAGATCCACCTGCCTCTGCCTCCCAAGTGCTGGGATTAAAGGCGTGCACCACCACTGCCCAGCTTGATTTGTTATTGTTTTTGTTTGGGGGGGGGGGTTGTTTGTTTTTTGTTTTTTTTTTTTTGAGACAGGGTCTCAATATATAGTCCTGGCTGTCATGTAACTCACTCTAGACCAGACCAGGATGGCTTTGAACTCACAGAGATCTTCCTGCCTCTATCTCCCTAGTGTTCAGATTAAATGCATGAGCCACCGCCACCTTGCTAGAAGGGTAGGCTATTAAGTAGATTTTTGCCTGCTGCTACTTCCCTGATGTCAGAGAAAAGTCACTAGAAGTCACTAGAAGTTATCCCTAGAGAATCAGACCCTGGTTACCCATGAATTAGTTAATTTTCTCATTATTGTGGGCAGACCAAAGACCCTGATAAAAGCAACCAGAGAGAGAGAGAGAGAGAGAGAGAGAGAGAGAGAAAAGGTAAGGATTTGGGCTGGTAGATGGCTCAGAAGTGACTTCTGCCAAGTCTGAAGATGCCCGGGACCCACATGGTGGAAGAAGAGAACTGACTCTCTATGGCTTCCACTCTCACAGCACGGCACACGCATGTGTGTGCACACACTAATAAATGTGTTAAAAAGTAAGCATTAAAATTAAAGAAGGTAGTGTTTATTTTGGTTCCCAGTTTGAGGGTACAGTCCATGGTGGTGGGAAGGCAGGGAAGCAGGAGCGTGGGGCGGCTGGTCACGTGGCATCCACAGTCAGGAAGCAGAGGCAGGTGAATGCTAGTGCCCAGCTCTCTTTTTTTGGTTGTCTGTCTGTCACTCTTGAGATGAGGTCTCACTGTGTACCTCTGGCTGGCCTGGAACTCAATCTGTAGACCAGGCTGTCCTCGAACTCACAGAGATCCTCCTGCCTCAGCCTCCCGAGTGCTGGGATTAAAGGCGACCACACCGAGTTTCCACTTTCTCCGTTTAATTCAGTCCAGAACCCCACACATGGATTACTGCTGCCCACATCTAGGGTAGGTTTTCCCCCTTCAATTAACCTAGTCTAGAGACATTCCCACACGCCCCAGGGTCTGTGTGTCCATGGTGATTCTCCATCCCATCCAGGGACTGGTGATGTCCCACTGGGAAAGAGAGCTTGTCACCAAGGCTGACAACCTGGTTCAATCTCCTGGACCCACATGGTCAATGCACCCTCACACACATGAACATACATGCCGTGCTCCTGTATACACGCTAACTAACACACAAAGAAAGGCGTACATCTAGGGACCTACCAGCCAGGCCCAACCTTCTAAACATTCCACAGTCTCCCCAAAATAGCACCAACAGCTAGGGAAAAGTGCTCCCAACATGAGCCTGTGAGGACAGTTCAGCTTGGAACCATTATGGTGGCCGTGGGCAGGCCAAGCAGTGCAGTGGAGAATTGCCATCGTCCTCGTGGTCACGTGACAGCTGGGGACATTATTTGACTGGCTCTTCCTGTATCCATCCTTGCAGACAGTATGGACTTCTCAAGCATGACACTGACCCAAATCAAGCGCCAGGAGATGGATTCTCAGGTAAGAAAACCATGGCCACGACCAAGGTCGGGTTGGCTCCGTTCCCTGCACGTCGACCCCAAGTATCATTTCCCTGGGGAGAATACAGAGAGGAAGAGAGTAACTTAGGGGAAATGAAGTTAGGTATGGGCATGCATGCAATAATCCTGGCACTTGAGGGGCTGAGGCAAGAGGGTCGTCATGGGTTTGAGGCCAGTGTGGGCTACATAGCAAGATCATTGAAAAACAAACAAATAACAACAACAACAACAAAGCCAGAGGTGGCTCAGTAGTTAAGAGCATTAGCTCACAACAACCTATGACTCCAGTTCTAGGAGGTCCAACACCTTCTGGCCTCTGTGGGCATCTGCACTCAGTTGCAAATGCCGCCCCCCCCCCCACCATGTGCATACAAAATTAAAAATGGAAAAAAAAATAAAGAGGAGAAAAGGCTAGCCATTGTGTTGTACACCCGCAGTCCTGGCACTAGGGAGGTGACGGAATAAGAGTTCAAGGCCAGTCTGTGTTCCGTGGGTCCCTGTCTTGGGGCTGCGTTTTAACTTTTAACTAAGTTAAACCAAGGCCAGACCCCCCTCTCACACCCTTTTCCCACAGGTTAGGGTGCTAGAGCTGGAAAATGACCTGCAGAAGGAGCGTCAAAAACTAGGAGAGCTTCGGAAGAAACACTACGAGCTGGCTGGGGTTGCCGAGGGCTGGGAGGAAGGTGAGCGCGCCTCGGGTACGCGCCTCGGGTACTTACTGCGGGTGCCGTAGAAGGGACAGGCTTTCAGAATGGGTCCCTCTGGCCTGTCACTTCCTCCCCCTTTTCATTCCTAAATAACCTTTCAGCCTAAAGATAGGCACATCGTAGAGAATTAAAAAGCGTCTGTTACAGCCCTTCCAAGCTCCAGCAGTAACCTGGGTGGTGCACAGTTGGAAACCTAACACTTGGGAGACAGAGGCAAGAAGACTGGGGATTTCGGCTACGTAGCCAAAAGCAAACAAACAAAAAAAACCTGACTATTATAAAAACCTCCACGTTGGCCAGTGGACTTGTGTCCTAGTCACTACAGTGCCCTCTCTGGTTACTAGCCTTGTCATTGTTTTGTTTTTAAAGAGTTATTTTTTGGGGCCGGAGAAATGGCTCAGCGGTTAAGAGCACTGGCTACTCTTCCAGAGGACTCAGGTTCAATTCCCAGCACCCACATGGCAGCTCACAACTGTCTGTAGCTCCACTTCTAGGGAATCTGACCCTCTCACACCAATGCACATAAAATAAAGTTAAATAAATTATTTTTTTTAAAAAAGAGTTATTTTTATTTTCTAGGTATAGAGACAGTTGTGAGCTGTCATGTGTGTTCTGGGGTTCGAAGTTGAGTCCTCTGGAAGAACAGCCAGTGCCGTTAACACTGAACCACCACCACCACCACCACCCTGGATGGGGACACACACACACACACACACACACACAGCCTTGCTAGCAAAACTGCAGTAGATGAACAGTGGTCAGTGGAGAGCTGGCAGGCAAGGCACACTAATTCTGAGGTTCTGACTATAGAGCCAGCAAAGCACCATGATGTGGAGCCAGGAAGATGGTTTGGTAGGTAAAAATGCGAAGCTTCATGACCTGGGTTCACTTCCTGGAACCCACAGTAGAATAGAACCAATTCCCGGAAAATCTGTTCTCTGATTTCCACACTCTGAATCTGGCATGTGTGCACCTGCACTCATATACATCACACATGCACATGCACACACACGCATGTGCACACACACGCAATAATAAATTTTTTAAAGGGTTCTTTAAAGTATGGCAGTCGTGAGCTTGAGTCTCACATGGCGACAGTTTCTCATGAAGAGTTCATGTATGCGTGAGGTTCCGTGTGAAATGTTTTTTTTTGTTGTTGTTGTTGTTTTGTGTTTTTAGGGACAGAAGCTTCGCCTCCTACTGTTCAAGAAGCAATACCGGAGAAAGAGTAGAGCCCAGCCAGCGCCCCACACGTCAGAATGTCAATCCTTGTTATCCTTCTGTTTGTGACGCTCCCCGTCATGACACACCGGGTCCTTGCAGACCTCTCCATTCACAAACGCTGAAGCCCATCCGTCGAGTCTCCTCAGGACACCACCTCTGTCTGAATGCATGATGAGTTCTCCCCTTACGTCCCTGACGTTCAGGCAGGCCAGCGTTGGCCATGAGCAAGCTCAGGTCCACAGAAAAACAGCGACATGGCCAACCTGTCTTGCCTCATATCCACCTCCTCGCCAGTCATGTCCTTAGAGAGGCTTCTTGTCCTTGGGAGCTTGGAGAGGGGACATCTGACACCTGTTCTTCCCCCCTCCCCACCTCCTCAGTCTTCTGCATTTTGTCTTTTGCGCAAACTTGTGAGCATCTGAACTCCACTGGATTCCAAACCAGACCTCCGTTTGAATCCACAGTTAATGGCCCCCCTTCACACTACACTTTTGGCAGTCTGATGGATCCCCTCCTGCTTATTATTAGGTGGTCGTTTGGGTCTTTTGGTTTTATATCTTGAAAGTTTCACATAGCCAACTTTCCCAAAATGGGTTCCCCTCCCCACTCCCACCCTGAGCTCTGAGCCTTCTGGGCGGAGGTCCCCACACACACCATGGTGCGGCTCAGGCTACGCCTTGGTGCTCCAGATCAGCTCTTCCATCAGCCAAGGCCACTCCCCAGGGTGACAGCTCTCCTCTGAAGCCTAAAGCAGAGCTAGTGCCTTTACTTTTTGACCCTGGGTGCCATCCCAAGGCCTCTGTCCACCTTCACAAGCCAGTTTAAAAAAAAATGGTGCCAGGGACCCAGCTCTTCTGGGGACATTTTTCTTAGGAGCTCATGTGAGCAGGTTCACCACCCCATCACGTGCTGGAATGGAGCTGGTGTGAACAGCAACACTACATCCCCAGAGCGAACTTCCTGTGCCATGTCATGTGGGCCACCTTCCACCAAACCCAGGCAAGGTCCTAAGAGGGACAAATACAAAGGAGCTGGAAGTGGTTCCTTTTCCAGCTGCCTGCTTCTGCATCCTCCTGAACCCGAAAAAGATGGTTCCGTGTGCTACTTACTCAACAGACCCACTTGCTCCCATCGGGAAGAGAACTCGGCTTGGGGGTAGGACTCTTCATATTTATTACTAACAATCTTCCTGCGACACCTGCCCCAGAGATGCTTGGAGCAATCAGGACTGAGGGTGGCCGACTAGGCTTGCCCTCCGCCCGCAGTCTCCACAGACCGCAGACAAGACTGAAGAGCCATCCCTGAGCATTTCTGGGCCCGGATTCCAAAGCAGGCAGGTTCTTCGAAGCATCGAGGAGCAGGAAAAAGGAGGAAGGGGACCACCCCTGGCTATGTCTCCCACTCCGCCACTACCCACTCTTGCTCCCATGAAGACAGGGTGGGGACTGAAGGCATCCCACTTAGATACAAGCAGCCGGACAGCACTTTGCCACTCTCAAATGGACCACTGAGTTAAGTGACCTTCTGATCTGTAGGATGGGGCAGGGAGATGGCGTCTTCCTCCCTCCGGTATCTGTGACTCTTAGGTGGCAGCCAGCAGGCAATTCCTTGAGCCTGTCCCCAATGGGACGTGGCTCAGCTTTGCTGGGTAATGGGTTGTGAGGCTAATTAATGTTTGATCACTGTGAATCAACCCCCTTCTTCCTGCTCCACCCACCCTGACTCTTTCCCCTGAGTATTTTCTAAGCCGGCACTCCAAAAACTCACAGCATCCCATAAGTCTGCTGAGACACATGACCTCCACATTGGGCTAAAGGAGTTACCTACAGTAGAAACGGCCTATTCTAGTGCCGGAAGAATGTTTCTCTGCTTAGCATTTCTTCTTGAGTCCAAGGGACCAGAACAAGCAAGGTGTGTGGCATTGTTGGCCCATTTGTGCCAATCAAGCCAATCCATGTGCTCACCGTGGGTCAGCTTTTCCAAAGGAAGAGGTTAACATAGTCAGTCCTTGCTTCTAAGGTCAGAGCGTTCACACTTGTGTGTCCCAGCAAGAGGAAATCAAACCACAGAGATAGAGCAGGGTTGTCTGAATAACACACCTGTCTGAAAAGCCAGTCATTTGTAAAACCCTAATAATTAATCTCTTCCTGAGTAGCAAAACAATGAAGAGCCCCAGCTCGAGGGGAGTCAACAGCACAAGTGTCCTGCCTGCTCAGTGTTGGAGGATCAGAACTTTTTAATGGAACTCAAGTCAGCAGCTGCCTCTCTCTAGCCAGGCTTGGCAGTGCATACCTGTAATCTTGGCTTTCAGGAGACTGAGGCAGGAAGATCCTGAATTTAAGGACAGCCTGGGCTACATACTGAGACCTTGTCTCAAAAAAAAAATTTTTTTTTTAAATAATTAGATTATATATGTGTGTGTGTATAAATTATATATAACTGGGTGTTTTTTCTGGGGGGAGACACGGTCTTATTATATAACCCTGGCTGGCCTCAAACTAGCTATGACACCTCATTGTCCTTGAATTCACAGGGATTCCCTTCTCTTTGCCTCTCAAGTGCTGGGGTTAAAGGTGTGAGCCATCTCACTCAGCCTAGACCACAATTTGTTGGCTCTGCTGCTACCTAAACAGGAGTCTTTAATTCAGTGGCTGGACAAACCAAACCCTGAAAATTCTTACAGCTCAAAAGGAACTTCACAGCTTTTTCAAGCATTCCTGGGGCTCCTTAGACTAAAGTCTGCTGCATGAGTGTAGACAGATCCTCAAGGCAGGGAACTGGGGGTCCGGAGAGATAGCTCAGCGGTTAAGAGCACTTCCTTCTCTTCCCGAAGACCCAGGTTCTGTTCCCAGCACCCACATCATGTGGCTCATAACCATCATTAACTCCAGCTCCAAGGGATCCGATGCTCTCTACCGGTGACGTGAACTCATGTGGATGCACGCACGCCCATTTGAGTACAAATAACTCAAAAAATATTTTTTCAAGACAGAAAATTGACAAAATAATGGCTTGGGGGGGGGGTGAAAAGGAAGCTCAAATCTAGCTGTCTTTCATTTTTAACTGGTTGCACTTTTCTAGTGCCTAGAGATTAAGGATATGTATGTGGGGTTCATATCTGAGCAAGGAATTGAAATGACTATAACGGGCTTGACAGTGCATGCCTGCAATCCCAGCACTTGGGACTCAGGCAGGAGGATCACGAGTTCAGGTCTAGCCTGGGCTATATACTGAGACCTTATCTCAGAAAAACCAAAAATAAATTAGACTAGAGCTTAAATGGCTTGTTGACTGTACTGCCCACAGCATTATTCATAGAATTCCACCTACATACGAGCCCTTAACCCAGGAGTTAGGAGAGCCAAACACCTCCAGGACATCCTGTCTCAGAATAGGTGTGGCTGATGGGTCAGACACCAGGCTTTATCCCAGGTAACTTGAGGTCACATGCACTTGTCATTCTGGCCACATTTGTCTGCTATGACCTCTCATCTTAAGAGTTCTCATCTTGTGTCTGGGGAAAGCTTTTGCTTCTTGGTCAGTGGCTTGGTTGTAGAAGGATTTCCAGCACCATTTAACCCTAATTGTGGGAGTGGAGGTGGGGAGCTTGAGACTAGATTTCTCTGTGCAGCCTTGGCTGTCCTGGAACTCACTCTGTAGCCCAGGCTGGCCTCGAACTCACAGAGATCCGCCTTCCTCTGCCTCCTGAGGGCTGGGATTAAAGGCGAGCGCTTAACACTAATTTTTAATGGCTGGCAAATGTGCTACTCTCTATTGCCTTTCCATCTCAGGCAACCTTGCTACAAAAGCCAGCCTTTGGATCCAACACCGACCTGCCCATCCGAGTGGCCCTGCCGTCTCTCTGCCATCGTGGACCATCCTCCCACCAGAGTGAGCTTTGCCCGCTCTTCTTGTTGGAGTCTCCGCATTGACCCTCCAACAAGAGCAGCGTTGCCCTCTCTCTGCCATCTTGGGTCCTCCCTATTTGCCTTGGAAACAGAGTGGCTTTGCCCTCTCTCCACCTCTCGAGTCCTCGGAGACCACACTGATTGGCAACCATCACTGCAGCACTTGGCAGCCGTCCACACCGACCCAGAACAGCGATTTGCCGCCCCTGTCACACGGGTCCCTGCCCAAACAGGGAACCGGCAAACACAGTGGTGGAGTGCCTCCTCCCGGGGAGCCAAAGCCAGAGACGGCTGGTTAGATGTGACTGGATCCAGTTCTGAGCATGTAGACCCTTCCAGACGTGTTTGTCAGGTGACCCTCAACTACCTCAGGTTTGAAGACCCTAAGTTAAACTGATTAGCGGTCCAGGGACAAACCGAGGGATCCCGTTAAATATTGGAGAAGACGACCTAAGCGTCCCAAGCTTGTAACAGACTCCGAACTTGGCGGGGATGGGGTGGGTTTTGGTTTGTTTATGCCCCACCTTCTGTTTTTAACCTTTTCCACAGTTTGCCATTAGAATCGTCCCTATCAGTGAATTTCACTTTTCACTTCGTGCCTACCTTCCCAGGGCAGGTGGCCACAGGCTCTTGTCTCCTCCCAATAGTACTTTTATTATGGAATGAAGACCTTTCTTTGTATAATGCATTGCATCTGTGTTTTCAATTTTTCCAATAAATCTGTCAGCCTGGCCGTGGAGAACAGTGAAGACGGGGTCAACAGAGTGGCCCTGAGGATTGGACTCCTGTATCTTTGTTTCCATGTTCTGAGATCCATGGGATTCACATAGCAGTTCACAACCACCTTAACTCTAGTCCTAGGGTATCCAACACCATCTTTGACCTCCTCGGGCTCCTACACATATGTACTACACATACATGTACTCAGGCACGCATACACACACACAAGATACATAAACAAATCTTTGTTTTTCCGGACAGGGTTTCTCTTTGTAGCCTTGGTTGCTCTGGAACTGACTTTGTAAACCAGGTTGGCCTTGAACTTGGAGATTCTCCTGCCTCTGCCTTCTGGGTGTCAGGACTAAAGGCGTGCACCACCATACCCAGCATGCTTTCTTTTTAATTAAAAAAAAAGGTATTTTTTAAATACAAAAAGCTGGAGAGCTGGCTCAGTACTTAAGAATACTTGCTGCTCTTCCAGCGGACCTGGGTGCAGTTCCCAGCACCCATATCAGATAGCTCACAACTGCCTTTAAGTACAGCTCCAGGAGATTCTACAATCTTCTAGTTTCTGCAGCTACCTGCATGCACCTGGTGTATGCACAGAAAAGCAGATACACAAATTTTAAAATGACAATCAGTTAAACATTGTTTTGTGTCTTAAGTGTTTCTATTGCTGTGAAGAGACACCATGACCACAGCAACTCTTATCAAGGAGAACATTTAATTGGGGCTGGCTTACAGTTCAGAGGTTTAGTCCATTATCATGGCAGGAGGCATGGCGGCATGTAAGCAGACATGGTGCTGGAGAAGTTCTACATCTGGATCTCCAGGCAGCAGAAAGCATGATCAGGCTTGACTTTCTGAGACCTCAAAGCCCACCCCGAGTGGCACACTTCCTAATAGTGCCATTCCCCATGGGTCTATGGGAGGCCATTTTTATTCAAACCACCACAGTTTGTAAACTGGGGGCTGTAGCTCAATGATAGAGTGCTTGCCTACCAAGCTATGGGGTCTGCAGCATTCACGGCAAAGGATAGGGGTGGTGAGGAAGGAGGGCTGAAGTCCTGTGCACCTGTCATCCTAGCATCGGAAACAGGCAGGAGGATTACACATTTGAGACAGTTTGGACGACATAGTGGAGCTCTGCTTCAAGGTCTTAGAACAGGATGGAGCATGGTTGAAAGAATGCTCACCGAGCATGCTCAAAGCCGCAGGCTTCCCGGTATTGCATAAAACTAGGCAGGTAGCATATGGCTGCAACCCCAGCCTTTAGGAAGTAGAGGCAGGAAGATCAGAAGTTCAAGGGCATCTTTGGCTACATAGGGAGTTCAAGGCCAGCCTCGGCTCCATGAAACTGTTTCAAAACCCACTTAAAAAAAAAAAAAAACATTGCTTTGTACTTATTAAAATCAGAGGAGGGCTGGAGAGATGGTTCAGTAGTGAGGAGCACTGGCTGCTCTTCCAGAGGACCTGAGTTCAATTCCCAGCCCCGCCCCCCCATGGTGGCTCACAACCATCTGTAATGAGATCTGGTGCCCTCTCCTGACCTGCAGGTGTACATGCAGGCAGAACACTGTATACATAGTAAATAAATCTTTTTTAAAAAACTCCTAATGGCCAGACGGTGGTGGCGCATGCCTTTAATCCCAGCGCTCTGGAGGCAGAGCCAGGCGGATCTCTGTGAGTTCGAGGCCAGCCTGTTCTACAGAGCGAGATCCAGGACAGGCACCAAAACTACACAGAGACCTGTCTCGGGAGAAAAAAAAATTCCTAAGAGGAACGGATGATCCAGCCAGTCGGTCTGGAAAAGCTGATGTCCAAGGATTCAGCAGCAGCAAGAGACACACTCGCTGGGGAAGATGGAGAGGTACTCTCTGGCTGGCTTCTTCCTCCTTTTACTCCCTTTCATTGGCCCTTCAGCCAGGCTGAAGGGTAGGAAAGGGGTGGGGAAAGGGCAGCAATGAGAACGGAGATGGAATAAGAGAAGGGGACTTTAGAGGCAGGGAACGAGAAGAAAATAAGAGTAAAGAAAAACTACTCACAAGACTCAAACCACGTGCATCGCCTTTTCCCGCTTTCAGTCAAAAGCGGGCAGTTGATTGGGAGCTAGGGAGCGGCTGCCTCGTTGCCTGGCAACCGGCTTCTCTCGCAGGAGCTGCCCTGTAGTGATGTAAGAGGCACGTGGTGCATGTTGGGGCCAGGAGGTCTCTTGGACCTTGGTGCTGCTTAGAGCGGCGGGCTGCTCTGGCTGGGGGTGGCTGGCACAAGTCCCAGCCTCAAGGCCCGTAACTGTGGCCGGGCCACTGTCCATGTGGACCCACCTGGACTTGGTGTGGTCTGGTAAGTCCCTGCTGCAGCCTTCGGGCCGTCTACGGCTTCTCTGCCAGCCCAGTTCAGCTGTGGCTGGGTCAGCAACAGTCCACATAGATGCCTTGATGGATGGCAAGTGTTGTGTGACTGGGTTTTGTAAGGAACACATCACAGCCCGGCGGTGTGGCGCACGCCTTTAATCCCAGCACTTGGGAGGCAGAGCCAGGTGGATCTCTGTGAGTTCGAGGCCAGCCTGGGCTACAGAGTGAGTTCCAGGAAAGGCTCAAAAGCTACACGGAGAAACCCTGTCTTGAAAACAACAACAACAAAACACATCTCAATAAAAAGGCAGATTCAAGGCGCAGGTACTGGTGCCTGCCTTTAATCCCAGCACTTGGGAGACCAGACAGCAGGATCAGAAGTCAAGGCCACAAGGGATAACTAGGAGGAGGGAGGATTTGAGCTGTGAGTGGGGGCACATGCTTATGAGGCAGGTTCAAGAATTCAAGGGCAGCTTCAGCTACATAGACTGTTTGAGACCTTGTCTCCAAAAAATGGGCCTGAAGAGATGTCTTAACTATTTCTCATTGCAGAGGACCTAAATTTGGTTCCCAGCACCCAAGTCAGGAGGCTCGCAACCTCTCATAACTATATCCAGGGAATTGGACACCATTTGGGATGTCTTCAGGCACTTGTACTTAAACGCATTTATCTACACACACACAAAGTAAAATAAAATAAATCTTTTTAAGAGAGCAAGCGAAAACAAAAACACAACAAAAAAACCTTGTAGGCATGGTGGTAAGGCCTATAATCCTAGCACTTCGGAGGCTGAGGTAGGAGGTTCTGAAGTTCAAGGCCAGCCTGGGCTAACCAGTAAAGCCATCTGAAAAATAAATAACCACACAGGAGTCATGATGGCAACCACCCTTAATCCTAGCACTCAGAGGCAAAAGCAGTTCCCTGTAAGTTTGAGGCCAGCCTGTTTTACATAATGAATTCCAGGACAGCCTATGTAGAGAGATCCCATCTCAACTACCCTCTTCCCCCAAAGAAAACCCACTATAGGATATGCTCTAGCCCAAGTATCTTAGCCCATAATTTCCTTTGCCCATTTGTCTTTACTTCAAAACATAGATATTTGGGCCTGGAGAGGTGCCTCATCCACTAAGAGCAGTTGTTACTCCTGCAGAGGACCCAAGTTTGGTTCCCAGAACCAATACGACAGCTCACAACCACCTGTAACTCCAGTTCCAGGAGATCTGACATCCTCTTCTGGCCTCCTGGAGTAACAGCCACTCATATGGTGTATATACATGCTTGCAGGAAAAATGCTCATATACATTATAAATAAATAGAAGTTGGTTTTTGTTTTGTTTTGTTTTTTAAGATGGTGCTCATGCTGGGCACGGTTGGCACACACCTTTATTCCCAGCACTCATCAGGCAGAGGCAAGAGGATCTCTGTGAGTTCAAGGTCAAACTTGTCTGCATAGCAAGTTTCAGGACATCCAGGGTTATATATAGTAAGACCTTGTCTCAAAAAGTAATAATTCAAAGTAATGTACTAATATCGGGGACTTTGGGGGTCCAGCCCCTCGATAGTCCCCTCCCAGGGTCCGGGAAGAATCTACAACTAGCTGATAATTAATCTTTGATGAGAAGAAATGAATCTATGTACATGAAACTCCTTAGTCCATATACTTTATTATTCTGTGTCAGTTACAAGCTTATATTCTGCTCTCATATTTAGGTTTTTTCTTGCCTGATTTCTCTCTACACTTGTCCGCGGTCCCCTCTGGGTTCTATCTTAATTCCTTCATCTTATTCTGCCCCTTCTAGGTTCTCATCCATCTAGTTCTTTCCCATATCAGCTCCTCTCCCATCTCCTTCTCTCTCATCTTGTTCTTCCCCATCTGGCTCTTCCTCATCTCCCATCTCGTTCCTCTAGTCCTCTCTTCTAGCCCTTCAATCTAGTTCTTCCCCATCTCAGTTTGTTCCTCTCAAGTTCTTACCCATCTAGTTCTTCCATTCTCTTTTCTCTTCTCCGACCCTCTGCCCTGGAAGTCCTCGTATACATACACTTACAAGCAGTATTCCCTTAGCAGTGCAAAGCCAGGCTTCCAGGGTCAAATGGAGGGGTAATAAGAATCACATAGGGAGGCAATAACTGTTAATTATCATTTGCAACCCCAAAGGGAAGTGACCAATGGGGAAATGAATTAACTAAAGGCTGAATTCAGGTAATATCTAAGAAGAGGGCTCTTATGTGCTCAACTATAATCTTAAATGTGATTGGTAGAAAATGTTAAGAATCTATAAGTTGCTAGGTCAATGGGAGAAAATAAAACTGTCTTCTTTTTTCCTGTGGCTCCTATCTGTCCAAGCTATCTGCCGTTTTTCTGCAGGGTGGGGGAAAGTGTGCTCAGTCGCTAGGCAACCTGTGTACAGCTGGATGCCTCTGGTGATAGTTAAAGGGAGATCTGGAACTGGAGGTAAGGTTTGGGAAAGGAGGAAGTAAGGCTTAATTGGCACATCCACCAGGCCTTCTCAAACAGATAGCCTGGATGCTTAAGTCTGTTCTTAGAGAATACAGAGGTATCTCTGATAAAGTACTCTCCTCCATCTGGGGATGGACCTGGCCAGATGCTGCTAATGATGATAATCACAGGGAGGCTTGAACTGGGGTTCTGGCTGAGCATAGCTGTCAGTGCAGGAGGTTATCTAAATATTCCTAGAAGT